GGGAGCCCGTCACGCGTGGGCCCCGGCCGGTGACCAGCCCCCCGGCTTTTCTCCGCAGCTCAGCGTCATGAAGGGCGAGCTGGGGGAGGCCGAGCAGCTGCTGCACCAAGCCCTGCGGCTGTCGCACCAGTCGGGGAACGACAAAGCCATCACCTACACCTACAGCATGATGGCCAACGTGGCCTACATGCAGGGACAGCTGGACAATGTGAGTAACTCTGGATTTTTTCTTCCCTCTGAATTTCAGGAGGCTCACATCTCAAGGTCTTGTCATGTCCATGATTGCTGTGGTGTGGTATGCCATGACAGGCTGCACACCGAGAGCTGTGAGGCAGAGATCTTGCAGTCCAAAGCAGAATAATTTGCCTTGGGACTGCACGTGCTGCTAAGAAAGATGCTTTCACAGTTAAAGTTTGAGCTCCAATATGGTGTGCAAGGGAAGGAATACTTCTTATTGTCAAACATCACAGTCAGGCATTTAGAAGGCTGTCCCAAGGAGATTCCGGGACATAGATGTGGTAAACTCACAGCTGGCGCAGGAGTCCTGAAGTGGAAACTGAAAAGACGCCGCTCGTTGGCAGTACCATTGCGCTCTGGTTAGCCTTTCACTTCTGACTGGTCTTGACATGCAGTGCAGATGTCACAAACTGGGAGACAGGTTTCTCCCCCGTAGCCTGCCTCCATAAAGGGTAGAGATCTTTGTTTTAACTGCCATCATTCCTCAGCATTGCTCTTCAAAAATCTCATTTCAGGCAGAAAAGCTCTACAAAGCAAGCATGAGCTATTTGCTTGCAGGGGACACAAAGGAGGTAAGTTCTTATGCTAAAGGCTTTCAGCTTCAGCTGGGAGTATTAACAATTCTTTGGTCCATTTCTTGTGCTGTAATACTTCTGCTGGAAGTCTGCAATACTAGCTCTGAGCTTGCTGGCTTCTCAAGGACTTTAAGGGGACAGCAGCTCTGGAGGCAACAGGGTGGGCATTTTCAAGGTCTGAATTTGTTCTTTGGCAAAGTAATGTTTCTACTGTGGAGATGCAAGAAGAGTAACAACTGTGTTTTGTGTCCTCCTGGCAGGATGACAATGCAATCCTGGAGATGTCCCTCAAGCTGGCCAGTATCTACGCTGCTCAGAAACAGTGAGTTCCCTGCTAAAGGCACCTTTTCCTTTCATCTCAGCCTCACAGTGGCAGTGGTGGCCAAACAGAGGCTCTTTTAAGGCCTGAGGAAGCATTGATGTGACAAGATACAACCAACATAAAGGTTCTCACAGGCATGGTACCTGCTGTCGTGCAGCACAGCGATTGCTGTTGTGCCCAGCTTAGGGCAGAAGTAGCCACAGAGGACATTGCTCTTTAGTCTTAAATCCTCACCTGGCAGGAGAAAGGCTTTTGAAGCAGTTGGTGACTGGTAACTTGTAGATTCAGTTTTCAGTAGAACGTCAGCATGGGTTGCCTGAGCTGGCCATGTCTGGGGAGGGATCCTTTGGATCCCTCTGCCCATGGGTCAAGAGAAGGGTCCAGGCCATGATCAGGAAGAGAGCACTGAGGGCAAGAAGGTTCGGGTGAAGGGTGACAGTTGTCTTACAGGCCCTTTAGAATGAGGGTGTGAAGGTGTTCACATGCATCCCTGAAGGGATGGAAGCAGCCTTGTTTGCTGAGTAGTTGTACTTCGCAGGCACAAATTGGCTTTGGCTGGCTACGAGTTCTGCATCCTGACCTTAGAAGAGAAGGTTGCCAAGCAAAAGGACTTGCCTGAGGATGTCTTAACAGGTGGGACTGCATTGTCTGCCAAAGAGAATTTCTCATTATCTTCTCTCTATATCCCGATCCTTGGTGTTGCTCTCCATATTGCCTAAGCACCGTCTTCATGTCAATCCATTGTCTTCACACTGCGTGAGTTCCCTGCTCTTGTAGGATGGAGGCTCATGCTTGATCTTCTAGAAGCAATCGCTTCCACTCCTCTGTCCTTGCAGCTGAAGAGAAGGCAAACACCCGTCTGTTGCTTGGGATGAGCCTGGACTCCTACGCTCGCTATCTCCTAAACGTTAACCAGCTCCCAGTGGCCCAGAAGATGTATGAGAAGGCTCTGCAGATATCAAATGATGTTCAGGGAGAGACTCACCCACAGGTGACCTATACAACGGTAGTTGGACTGCTATGGAGAGAAAGGCTAATCTAGTGCATGAGGCAGCTGTAAAAGCAGCTTTGCTGGCTTCGAATGTACGCAGCACTAAATTGGGTTCTGTTTTCCTGCCAGGAAGAAGGAGCATGCAGCATGCTGATATGTAAGACACTTTTTTACTGAAAGCTGCTCTGGGCAATGCTACTTTCACTGTGTGACGGGTATGAATGTGGTGTTCCTGCTGCCTCAGACTTCTACTCAGGTCTTGCTCTGAGGCTTCCTTTTCTGTCCTGGTGCAGACTGTGGTCCTGATGAATGACTTAGCAACTGTACTGGATGCGCAGGGGCACTACGACGAGGCATACGCCTATGTGAAGAGAGCGGCTGAGCTGGCAAAGGAGACTCAGCACCCCGAGGAGCACATGGTGCTGAATAACCTGGCAGCAATTCTGATGCACAAAGGTAAGTAAATAAATGCCCAGCCTATGTCACTGTGCTTGTGATGTCTGTTACTGGTTTTAGTTTAAGCAGGTTTGCTGACTTGGTGTAGGCAACTTGTGTTGTCTTCAAATTGCTGAAGGATCCTGGGCAAGATAAGATGCAGTACTGGTGCATCTGACTTAAAAGGTTGCCAGGTAATCTAGTTTCCCTCGTCCTGTATGTGCAGTAAGTGGTTTCAAAAGGACACAAGAAATGCTTGAGTCTTGTTTCAGCGGGATCTTCATGCTGAAGCAGCACCTTGTGCCGTCAGCATTGCTGCTGTCTGGCTCTTCGTTGGCACCCTGTGCTGCATGTTTTCTGCACCTCCCTAGTTCTCAAAGTGTTCCAGGTTGTCTTTTGCACATGCTGAGCTTCAGGAGGGGACTCTGAAAACGGGCAATGTAGTTGGCTAGCCATGCTGTTTTTTCCTCTTGCTACAGAAGATTTTCTGCAAGCAAAACAAGTGTACAAAGAAGCTCTCAAGCAGGCACAACAAAAGGGAGATGCTGCTTCTGTCCAGCATATCCAGGAAGAACTGGCTGAGCTGGCCAAGAGGAGAAAGGGTTCCAAATGACTGGCCACAGAATCCAACCTTGAGGTGGCTGACAGGAGCAAGGGTTGGTCAGTAAAAGCAGCCTGGGACCAGTCTGGTGCAATTCTGCAAGGGAACAGCAATGAGGAGTTGAAGGGCTGCTTAACGAGAAGGGCTGCCATCGTCTGACAGTACCGCCCAAAATAAAGTTGTGACATTTTATCTAAATCTGTGGCGTGGTCTATGGTTACAGTGACCGACTGTGCTCGTGACTTAACTCTGTCTTCAGTTCAGGCTGTGTTAACTGCAATAGAGCAGTTCCTAGACTGTACCTGTACTATGACCGAGCTGCAGCTCCATGTCCTTTTCAAACAGGTTGCCTGAAGATCAAGTGGTTTTCTGCAGAGCATTTGGCATCCAAAGATAGAACATGCCCTCCCGGGAGGGGTGAGACTGTTACCCAACCAGAGCTGTTTTCAGAAATAAAACTCTGCTACCTTACCCCAGTCAAGAGCACACCGAGTGCCAAAGCTGTTCTCCTCTCTTGGACAGGTCAGTGCTAGAATGGCGAGGCTTCCTGTTGGAAGAGATGGTATGTAGAAACCCTCAGGTTTGTAAGGTACGTGCCTTTCCGTGAATCCAGGGTGAACCACTTAGACAACCAAATTTTTCAGTTCTGCCCTGCAGGGAAGCCTAATTCTAAAGACAAAGTAGAATGAAAGTACCAGTTATCAAATCCTTATTTAGCTAGGATAGAACTAGCTGTAATCCTGTCAAGCATTATTTTAACCTCTCCATTGTAAGAGCTTCAGCTGGTTGGTACCACGCAACATTAACGGCACCGTTACTATTTCGCAGTGACATTAGTGGCTTCAGCTCTGCTTAACTCTGAGCCAAGAAGAGACACACAGTTTTTCTAGAGTGGATGTTCACTGAAGCTGGAAAACACGTCACACACACAGAGCTTTGTTCTTGGGAAGCTAGGAAGTAAAACCATGGCTGTTACAGGCATGCTTGAACTAACAGAAAGGTTCTAACGCATTACAGCCAGTCGTTGTCTTCAAAGTTCTGGTTCTTGGTTTGGAAGTGGCAGACCTGTCAGTCAGCAGCATTAACCAGGAACCCTGCAGCACACCCTAAGGAAAGTGTTTTGCCTGTTCTCATGAACATAGAGCTTGATGCTGCAAAACAAGAGGGAGACACAGGAAAAGCAAATGGAGAACTGATCCCCTTTATTGATTGGTCTGAATCCAGAAGTCACTGTCTACTGAAGACATTGTGTGGAAAAAAAAAGAGTTGAGTTTTATGATGCATGGGTTTTTCAAGTCTTAAATGATTTCATATCAGAATCACGAAACATACCAAGATGAAAACATTGTGAAAGCGCTGATCAGAAATCAGTTAAAAATCTGTAGTAAACTACACTTTGTAAACATGATTTACAAACACCTTCCTGTTTGACACAGGTCAGATGTAATTCCATACTTGAAGATTACTGGAATTGTGGTAAACCCTAGCTTAGGCTCTGGAGAGGTTTTTTTTCCACACTGGAAAAGTTAAAACTCTGATAACAAGAAAGCAGCAACATGTTATGTGCAAATGCCACTCAAGCTGTATCTTAGGAGAACGTGACTACTTTGGACATCTTGCTGCTGCAGCAGCAACACCACGAAGCTTTGCAATGAACACGCTATACTTACTGTACAGTGAGCCAAGACATTTGTCTGTACACGCCTCTTTCACGTTGTATTTGTTACGCTAAGAAAGTGAGAACAAGTGAGTTTTAGAATGGAAATTAACTCTCCACTCTAAATTTAAACCTATAGAAAGGGCAGATCAACTTGTTTTCCAGTCGATGTTGCTGTGGGAACAAAAAAGTTAAGAGTACAGGTCAACAAATAGGCTGAAAAGTTGACTGTAAGTCAGAAGGGTAAAGGATGGGTGGGTGAGAATCTTTCTTAGCGAAAGACTGCAGGAGGTTTAAGACTGCCAACCGCTCTATTCCGATGCCGTGTTTAAAAAAGGTAGCAAACAACTCTGTATTTGCAATGCAGCGTCAGGTTTCCAAATGAGTTCCTTTGGGTTGCTTCTTTCCCACACTTAGGGCTAAAAGGCTTTTCTCTGAAGTACTCAAAGTAAATTTGCTATGGATAAATAGTTCTGTACTTCCTGTTTGTAACTGGACCATTACTGTCCTTCCGTAAGATGCAGAGCTTACGTGGCTTAAGGTTACAGAGCTACGTTACACCTTCCAGACAATGTATTGCAAATACAACGTTGAATGAAAAATATGTTAACTGGAAAATAGCTTCGAGGCAAAGACTCTGTTCATCGATGAGATGCAAAAGCAGTTTGGAATCTGACAGACCATGCCAGTCCTCAGCTCAGTGCTATCTGTAAGTCAGCCCTACCCCAGAAGAACTCTCTTCCTGAGGTCAGTGCAGCTAAAAATAAGATGTTCTTGAAGATGGATGTCAGGACACCCTGTGGTGTCACTAACCAGATGTATACAGGAGCTACAAGCACAGCAGGCACTGATAGATGAATGACTAAGGAGACTCTCCTAGTACCATATACAATTTAAAAAAAAACCCAAAACCACCCTAACAAGTATTGCACACCTTAGGAGTTAAGCCAAGCATTTGTAAGGACTTCCACCAAAAGCTTGCTTATTGGGCTAGGGATTGGGATGCAGACTTTAAAATAATTATTACATAAAGATTTTAAAATCAGACTGGATGAAGGTTAAAAAAAAAGAAAGTCACAGTACCTATTTCAAACTGGTTGTAACAGAAGCCAAGTAGTTGACTCGTGTGTCGCTCAATTATTCTATAAAAGCTTTTTGTTTTATTTAAACTTGGGATGTGAAGGTTTTTCTTCTCAAAGGATTTATCAACCCACCCAGAGCCTCTGTTCAGATAAGCCATTTGCTGTGGTTAAATATGACAGTGAAATTTAGTAGCCTGTTTTGACTGCATACAGTGCAGGAACAGAACACAGTAAGCCAGGCGTTTGGGGCACAGTTAAAATTCCCAGTGTGCATAACAGTGAGGTATGCCTCCAGAAGCTGTTCGTTTTGTTTCAGTTTTATCCTTTTAAAAATGAACCATAACATACCCATGCAATAATATTTCTGCAGTGTTGCTAAATAAACCCAACTGCACCAAAAATTTACAATGTGGCAGAATTTAAAATTCAAAGAAATATATCATCTTATTCCAGCGAACCGGACTATGTTAATGTACAGAATTCATTAAGGGGTCAGTCTTAAAAAATCAACATTTTCACAAGAGCTTGAACACCACTGAGAAAGTGTGTCTAGGGGAAAAAAAAAATGATATAAAAGCACAATGCCTGCAAGAAGTGGCACGGCATTAAATGGGTAACGATGCTAGGGTTATGGTTAGGCTGGTAGGGAGGCTAGGGTTATGAAGAGGACTCTACACTGGAGAAAATGCTTAAAAAAAAAAAAAATTACAAAATGACCCCCAAAGTTTAGGCAATGATTTGAACATAAGTACACCAGATACTATAGCAAGGGAAAAAACACTGCAAAAAGTACTCTCTATTTACAGAAGAATGATTTAAAGACATTATGGTTTTCTTTACAAATAGATGTAGAACAGGAATAGTCCACATTTTTAAAAACTCTTTACATATTTATCTTTAGTAAGTCAACCTTCTTGATCACAATCCTCCAACGCACGGGCTGTGCAGAAGGCATTTAATGGACTCTCCATCAATTCTTCATTGTGTGGCCCTTGCTCTCTTGGAAAGTCTCAATGGGCACAAGTCAAAAATAGATTTTTTTTTTTTTTTGACCCGCAAATTAAAAAAACCCCAAAAAGCTGCATAGTTCAGTCATCACTGTCAGACAGAGTCTCATATTGTGCTGAAAGCAGTGGTGCAGGCTCTCGCTCCCATATCCTGTTCTGTTGGTGAGTGGTTGCTTGGCTCATGGACGGTGGGGCACACGCAATGGATGTCGGCGGTGTACTGCTGAGCATCCTCATCGTCAGCGGGTTGTAAGGAAACTGTGTTGAACCTGAATCAAAGAGAGTTTCTCCAAGTCAAAAACATGAGCTGTTCTGAGAGATCTGTATCTGAAAGACAGTCTGCCTCTGGTTGTGACAATTAGCAGAAAATGTGTTTCAGAAAATCCTTCTACGCTGTAATCTTTTGAGCAATACACCAGCGTTACGGCATGTCTACATCTGACCTTTCTACAAATACGACATCTGGTTTGTTAAGTTTGAAAGAAGCCCGTTTGTCACCTGTTGATGAAGGCCTGTCTTCCCAGGCCCACACTGGAGTCTGTCTGTGGTAGTCTCCTTCTGAATGTACAGATGAGACGGAAGAAGGTCTTTCAGTTCCCAAATATGCCTGGCCAGGAATCGGAGACTTAGACTTCCTATTGTTTGACTTGCCGATTAGCTTCTGCTTGCTGACTCCCCCTCCTGGAAACAGCAGGGACAGATTTTACAAAGAGGATACACTGCATTTAGCCTGTGTCTGCTTCTATAAATTACCACTTGGCAGCAAACAGGAGTTGCACACTGGTGCCTTCTGGCGTGCCGATTTACTGTAACTAGTGACTGGATAGGCTAGTCTTCTGACACACTATTGCTAGAAAATCCCTGTTCTTAGCACAGCGGAGCTACATTTCCATTTTTAGGAAGGGAAATGTTTTCAGTTCCAGCTAGTTCCTACTGTCACTTGTTCTTTATAGGTGATGCATTTTCAAACCGTTATCTCTTCCCCGTTTCATCAGTGTTGTCTTTCTCCAAGACCCACTGGCTAATGCTCCTGAAGCCACCAGCAGAACGCCAGGACCACTACAGGGAACGGAAACACCATCTCTGACTTCCAGAGGAAAGACAGTGATTTTCAGTGACACCAAATTTATTCAAACCCTCAGTTTCCTTTTATTTTCTTTAGGACCGTGAAACGTGTAGGAGCTGCGATACCTCACCTGAATTTGGTGATGGATTAGCTTCTTCCCTACGCGGCTCGTTGCTCGCTGAGACTGCAGCACTGGAACTGCCAGGGGCTACCGCAATGGACTGTGACATTACAACTCCATGTTCCTCACTCTTGTCATCAAAGTTTCCCATCAATGCTTTCCTAATAATGTCTTCCAGACCCAAATTACTGGCAGGATCTGCAAAGGAATGACCCCTAGAACTGACTGCACCTGGGAGATAAAAGAAAACAGACAGGGAAAGTGGGAGAGGAGGCAGATACCTCAGAGAAATTACAAAGGGGTATGGGAAAAGATTGGAGAGAGAGGCAGAAAGGGGTAGGGGGTGGGGGAAAAGAGATGAGATTTGTTTATAATGCAAAGCTACGTGCTCCAAAGCAGCTCACAACAGCTGCAAGTTAGACATGGTGTACCAAAGAGCTACGTTGTTAGTGCCACTAAATGTCAGGCTGTGTGAAAGAGGGTGAAGTTTACTTCTCTTTTTTTTCCTGAGCATGCTGATTGTGACAGCATATTAAGTAAAATCTGCAGTTACTAATCAGTTGTAAGAGAAGAGACCAGAAGAATAATTCTCTCATTAACGATCCATACTAAATTGTCCCACGCAGTGTGATACGTGGCAAAGATATATTCCAAAAGCTTGTCTTCCTTCTAAACTAATGGAGGTGCGTACGTTCTCCATTTACAAGACAGAAGCGCTGTACCGAAGCAGCAGCGACTGGTCAAAATGACGTAAGGTCAATCTGTGCTACAACTCAAGATTCAGATGCAGCAGTTCCTACCTCCTGTATTTCAGTTAATTCCTCTGCCTCACTTGCCTCTTGAACACAGTACAATTACGGGTTATGTTTAATTTCCCCATCTCATAGAATGTCTGGGCGGTTAATTATTTATTCGTCGTTACAAAAATTAATCTGTATTTTAAATACACCAGTTTATAAAGTAAACTACATCAGTAAACTCAGTAAAATCAGTTTACATTAGTAAACTAATAAGCTCAAGTTTTGTTGAGCTACACTGTATTTAAATTTATTTGTGAGATGCTAACCAATTTTATGACTTCTGCCTCTGTGTAGGCTTGGCAGAGCACACAGAAATAAAACATTTTTGCCTAAGCTCCCATTTAAAATATTTTCTCAAACTTCCTTTGGTCATTTTGCTTTTCCCTAAGATTCAGGAAACAAATATGCATGTAGGATACTACTTTTCAGCCTCCTCCTCCTCATTTACTGGACCCCCCAAAGCATATAAATGAAAGATACATTCTTCTGAAACATATATTGTTTCTTCTACTGAAAATCTTACCTGAGGTAGTGACTGCTGGCAAATTGAATATTTCAGTCCCTGGCTGAGCAGTTGCTGCAATTAAAACACAACATTTCATTGAGTTCTCCAGTACTGATGATGGCTACAAGCGATCACTGCTTGTCCTAATGCACAAGGTGTAATTACTTCGAACTATTTTCAATGTTCTGTTTTTAATTTCTCAATCTTCTGAGATGAACGTGTAACTGTGTCTTCTCAGGAAAATCATCTATTCCAGGGTAAAAGTATCTCACATGGTGACAGCTAGCCTTCTTTGCAAGGTGTTACTTCAGGAAGCAGACTGACTTTTTGAAGTTTCACTGCATACTTTAAAATGCAAAGCTGTATTTGATTCGCCAAATATGTATTTTAACATATAAACCTTACAGGCTGGGTACCTGTATGTATTAAAAACCTAAGTAACTTTGCAGTGGCTAAACAACCCCCTTCCCCCAACCATGACCTGTATTACATCCCATCTGAGAACACTATACAACCATAACACTGAATTCAGTGTATCAGTGAGGATTATTGGCAGCAATGGAAAGTGTATCTGTATGCCAAGCACGCACACCCAATTTTCAACAGAGCAAACTCCATCGTGCACACAGTGGGGATCAAATAAAAAGAATACTGCAACCCTTACTGACACAGCCTTGTTTCTTAGAACGACATTAACTTGTGGCTCAATGCAAGAGCACTCACTTTCAAATAAACCCTTCCTATGAGGTACCGGGCTCACAAGCAGCTTAGACTCTTACTACTGAAAATTTTGATACAGAGTTTTGTTATGGTTGCTAAGAGAAAAACAAAAATATAGTTCTAGTGTCATTCCACCATGTCAGTATCCATTACTGAAACAGTATGAAAATAAGTCTTTAACAGCCACAATCACAGGGCCAAGAAAACACAAAACATTGTCTGCAAGACATCTTTCCAAAAAAGGAAAATGTGTAATTGATAATGATGATACAAAGCAAACTTCCAAGTTAACTAGAATAATGTCATGTTTCAACAAATCTCTCAATTATTCTTCCATAGTTTTCAAAACCCACTTCCATTTAACAGTAAAAAGCTTAACTGTGCCAGTCCTACAGACACAGCATTAAAAGAAAGGAAAAAAGAAAAAAGACCAATTTTCCAGTTCTTCAGTCGTAAGTTATTATATATGTGGGTTTATATGCACAAATTTATATTCATTCACGTTATTTGAAACATATTTAGGTTAGGACATCTGTGGGTGGCAGTCACATAAAGCTTAAGCTGGAAAAATTCAGTGAAAAGGCAAGTCCTGCATACCCATGTCGGAGTCACCTCCACCAGATGAGTTCAGCTTTCGAAAGATCTCCTGTTTCTTGGATTTTACCATTGGTGAAGTGTTCTCAAGTTTGGTGAAAAACGAAGGCAGGTAGCTTATGCTACCTGGAGAGCGAGAGTCAGTCCTGCCAAGAGCAACATGATGTCAAAGACAGAGAGCATTTTTCAAGACATACATTCAAAGCTTTCCAAAAGCGGTCAGGCAGAAACCACCACCAAGCCATATGAGCTCTAAGACTCTTTCCTCAGCCTATTTTTTTGGGGACAAGTCTAGTGACTCTCCAGGAACGTCTGCTTTATCCAGGTAACAGGGTTTAAGATCCTATGGCTGACAGAAAAAGTGACCGTGGCATTGGCTGTGCTGGAGAGTGGTACAGACATGCTCTTACAAATTATCTCAGGGGTGCCCACTTCTGCCTAGCACCATGCACGCTGGCCCAAACCAGCACTGCAAATCGGTAGGTGACGAGATGTTTAAGCTAGAACCTCAAATACTCCAAGCAAATAAACGCTTTCAGGCATTCTTAGAAACCAGGTAAAACAACCTTACGGACTGGAATCTGGCTCAAGAGCAGCCAGGGAGCCATCCTTGCTCTATGGCACAAATTCAGACCGGGATCCATGTTCTGTATTTTGTACCCCTTATCAATTTCACATTCACAGCAGGTAGCACACTTCCTGTATGTGATTTCTGTCACATTAGCATAAAACCATTGCTGAAGTGAATGTCAAACTGAAAAGGGCTGCATTTTATCTTCAGGATCTGAAAATATGTAAATTTTAGGCTGTTTATAAAGATGATAAAGTCAGTAGTATTCCAATAACAGAGTTTTAAGAAAAATAAAACTCCAAAGCATGAAGAAATTCAGGTGAAAAAAAAAAAATCTAATACCAGGGTCACAGACAACTTGCACTATTTTCAAAAGTGACTAAAAATGATCAACTGTAAGTCAGGTTCACTGTGGCACTTAGAACACTTGAGCTACTTTGAGCAGCAGCAATCTGGCAAATCAGATCTAAAGAAAAAAACCCACCCCCTACTTAAGTTTACAAAAAAAATCATATAAAAATAAAGTAATAAAAGACAAAGACTCCAGGATTCCTAGGACAAGATCCTTAAAAAGTGCAATCTTCCCTGCCATGTTCCTGAAAAATCCCTTCACAACCACCCTGATGGCAACTGCAGAGTGGACGGGGGAGGGGTGGGAAAGACAAGAATAAAAAAGGATCAATTCCACCAGCAGGAACCTTAAATAAGTACATAGCAAGCACGCTGGCTGCTATTCCTTCTTCAGTAGGCAGCAAAGGACAGAAGCATCCAGTGTGTATCTGCCAGATGTCGAAGACACATGCACTGTTACAGTTTGCCAGGGATCCCATGTAGTTTTATGCTGCAGATCTGGCGATCTGACAACAGCCCCGGGAAACGGGGCTGCCCGTGTATGGCCCTCCTGACACCCACCTTCACACCTCCTGGAAATTAAGCTCATCAGCTTAGTGATACTTCATGTGATAAACTTCTCTAGAAGGATGAGTGTTGGGAGCCTGGGTTCCTCTACGCTTCACCAGGACAGTATGTAGAACACTGATCAGGCAGGACAAGCCTGAATCATTTAATCACAATTATTGAAAGTGGACCTTTCCTGAAAACCACTTCATTTTTATAGAACTGGCACCCATGAAGGGTTTGTTACAATGTTTTCTGTCAGAGGAGGCACAGAACACACTGCTTGTACCAAGAAACTTAAGACAGAACATGTACAAGTGACGTTTCCAAAGCATGTCCCAAGCAACAAGTTTTGAAAAGGACCAACAGTGATTAACAACTTGCCTGTGGTACCACGGGGAGATCACTTAAACTGCTCTTTCTTTGCAGCACAAAGATCCAGAACACTGTTTTTAAAATTCAGTTTCACACGTACCTCTGTTCAGTAGGCTCAGTTCTTTGGGAAAGCAGAAGAACGTTTTCCTGTTTCTCATGTACAACCGGGACCTGAGGTGGCGAGATTGGCTCATAGGGCTCTGAAGAGACATGACTCCTCTCTGGAGACTTTCCAGGTCTATACCCATAATTCAGAGATAGAGAAGTACTGTTAGTGCATGTAAAGTAGTAGTTAACACACTTTAATTGCACTGCTGTTGTTACATAGAATCATAGAATGGTTTGGGTTGGAAGGGACCTTAAAGCTCATCCAGTTCCAACCTCCCTGCCATGGGCAGGGACACCTTCCACTAGACCAGGTTGCTCCAAGCCTCATCCAGCCTGGCCTTGAAGACATCCAGGGATGTCTAGTTATGTATGTTATACGCTTGGCAATCTCAAAAAGATGACTTGGAATTGTCCATAATGACTGGCAAGTTCTAGGTAATTAAACATCTTTACCCCCCTAAAGACTGGAAATTAAACATAACAAGTGAAGGGAAAAGAGTTACAAGCTATGTTACGAAGCCAAGCAACTGTCAAAAACAGTGCAAGACAGGCATTGCCTAAAAAAAGACCACAAGATAGTTCTACTTCTGATCCACAGCAAGATTACTGCACTATTTTTTATAAATATCCTATTTGGGCATTCATTAGATTTGCAGTTAAAGGGAACACATGCATTACCTTCCCCTGGACTTGTCAGACAGATTTTCAGGTGACACTCTGGCACCTGGCCGCTGATGGTGGACAGACTGCGACTGCGACTCGGGGCTGTAGCGATTCGATGTCTTTGCCCGGGTAGAAACAGGCGTTGGAGCAGGTGTGGAATTCTGGAATGTAGTGGTGGGAGGCTGCAAAGAGGCCTGAGAAGCTGCTTGGTTTCTAGCAAAGTCTTGTGTAATAATTTGCTGATTGTAACCAAAAAAACAGAACAGAGATCTTGGTCAGACATTGGCCAGAGCATACACATTCATGAACGAGATGAACATGAGACTGACTGCAACAAGTGAGATGATTTTATGTTCTGACACATCATTGTATAATACCCTCAAGTAAAACTAATAATTACAGGATTGGTATTATGTTCCAAAACATGTGTTTACATCATCAAATTATAACTTTTTGCATCAAAAAAAATGCATGCAAATAAACCTACACAGATATGATCGGCAAGGGTGATAAGTCGATGGGTCCTGGGCACATGTGCCATCCCTTCTGCTTGGGAAGAGGGAGGTGGAGGTTGTTGGGGTGAAGGGGGTTCCTGTTGTGTCCTGTAGCGGTGAATCTGCCCCTCATATTGCCTGTTTGGGTCACCTAGTTGAAGAAGAAAGGGTCAGTCTGTTAAGATGGTATTACTGAAGCGTCAAGGTTTGATAGTTCTGTGCATAAAAATTTAACAGAAGATGTGTTTCTGCATTAGGTTTTAGGTATCCTGTGTGATGACCACCTTTTCGCACTCCATACAGACCATATATGCACAGACCCTGCTATTCCCAACAGATAAAGCTTCATTCCACAATGCAGATGAATTTCAGCTCGCTTCTCACCTGCGAACTGTACTGTAATAGTTTGAACTTCAGTAGTAGGTAAAAAATGGTGTGCATCAACACTAGTGGGCAGAAATTTTAAATAAGATATTGAAAATAAATTTCTTATTAAATCAGATACACTGTAACATAAAGGAGCCTTGTTTAATGTCAAGTGTCAGTTCCAATACTGTTGCTCCAGTTTTTCCACAGATCACTGCAACAACATACTTCCAACAAAAGCTTCTGACAAGAATGAGGTAAGCAGTCACTAGACTCCAGAGGTATTTTAACTTTATTACAGAATCACAGAATCATAGAATGGTTTGGGTTGGAAAGGACCTTAAAGATCATCTAGTTCCACCCCCCTGCCATGGGCAGGGACACCCTCCACTAGACCAGGTTGCTCCAAGCCTCATCCAGCCTGGCCTTGGACACTTCCAGGGATGGGGCATCCACAGCTTCTCTGGGCAACCTATCCCAGTGCTCCCCACCCTCTCCATGAAGAACTTCTTCCTTATATCTAATCTAAACCTCCCCACTTTCAATTTAAACTCGTTACCCCTTGTCCTGTCACTACAGGCCCTTGGAAAAAGTCCCCCCCAGCTTCCTGTGAGTTCATGGAGCTGGTAAATATAAGCAAGATAATTGTGAGAATATTTGCATATGCTGATAAACTTACTCTCTGCCTGGCTTGGTTTAGGTGTCTCTTGTTGGTAGGGCTGTAGCTTTTCTTGAGTAGGTACAGGTGAATTTGCAGGGCTAATCACCTCAATGGCATCTCCAGGAGCTTCATACCGGTGGGAGGACACTGAATATCAAGCAAAAGGTTGTGGAATAAGGTGTAACTATCACAGAAGATTTTTGTTGCCTATACCTAGCAACACTAGTGCTTCCTTCCATTGAAATGACAGCAGTGAAATGAGAAAAAGACAGGGTTTTGACTTTCATGATAACCGTAGTGAAACAAGTATTTCCATAAAGCAGTATTCCAACATAAAGAAAGTAATTTTACGTTTCCTGACTTCTGATGTTATTTTTGTTATCCTGCATTTTATGCTGTAGCACAGAATCCAAACAAGGCAAACAACTCTGATTTTGCAAGAATCTTGAGTGACTATATGCAAAAACTGTATTTGCTTATGAAGAGTCTCTACTGTGCAGGGCTGAGTATTTTATCCTTAAAACATCAGAATCATTTCACAGCTTATTATCTCCCTAAAGGCTAAGACAGACAGCAAAGAAGTAGATAGTTACTAAGATACGTACAACTACTGGAAGAATCTGAACTTTGAGAGCCCCTATCTCGTGCATCCTTGTCTGAAGCAATCTGTCGAGTGATGATCACATCTATGAAGTTAGCAGCAGTAATTGTGGTCTTTCCTCGAGTTCTCAGCTCTTCCTCGTACCTGGATTTAGGAGGAGGTCCTTTCTCTTTACCAGCCTCTGAATAGACTACCGATGAAGACTGTCCCTGGGCCTTGCCACCAGAAAAATTTGCAGATGTATAGGGGCACTGGACAGGCCTCTTTTCTACCTCCAGTGTTTTCTGTTCCATCTGCTGCTGTTCAGTAACCACAGCTGGCCGGCGCCCCATATTCTCTTCTATCCTGGTTCCTTCATGCTTGTTCTCTTTTGCTTTGGCAACTTCCATCTGAGGAGCAGAGGCTGCAGCATCTACTAGTGCTGCGAGGGCATCAGCAGCAGTATTGTAGCGGGAAGCGGGCAACCCCTGAGTAATTGAGGGAGCTCCAGGGGTGAGCTGCCTGTTGGCAAACATTGAAGATTCGGAATTATATGAATGGCATACCACTGTGTACAACAAAGCAAAGCTTTTGTGACACCAATTTCTATCCGAACTGGACTGGGTAAAAATGCATTAGATCATTTCTGATAAATGCAAGAGCAATCAAGAGTGGTTATTCTCATTTTGGTGTATTTTTCTCAGGCTAAATGCACCAAATATTAGAACAGATATCTCTCTAACTTAAGAAACATACATGATACGTAGCTGAGCAGCAGGATCCAAAGGTGTGATTACACTTGTCCCATTGGTTCCTTGAAAAATACTAGGCCTTTGCTGCAGTATGTTTTCCTGGCTTCTAACCGAAGGGGATGGGGACCGAACATATCCATGACTGCCAGGTCTGCCAGGCTGCTCTGTACCTGCAGAACATAGAGCGGAGGGGAACAAGCAAAAAATATACATACATCACTCTTATAACAATGCAGAACTATGTATTGATGCTGTGTCCTCCTCATCCTTTCCCAGTGTGGCCACCACTCTGGATGTGACTGTGTGTATTAAAGGTTTAAATGGCAGCATTCTGTTTCCAATGCTGTAAATGATACACAAGTTGTGCCAGTGATAACTGGGATTCACGCCATTCCCTAGGTACCACATTGCTATGAAAGATCACCCAGCGTGGTACTTGGTGAAGATGCAATGATGAACACAGCTGCTAGGTAACAGGAAATGCCTGCAGGGCAGGCCAGACCCAGCTGTATAACGTGGTGTTAACAGTCGCTACAGAAACAAGCCGTTACCGTCTACAAGACAACTGATCCAAATGTAGCAACGTGCACTCTCATCAGGGACTGAAGCTATTCTCTCCCTCTCTCGTTCACGTTCTCTTTCCCGCTCTCGCTCACGTTCCCTCTCCCTTTCCCGTTCCTTCTCCCTCTCCCTTTCCCGTTCCCTTTCAGCATTTGCAGCTGCAGAAGCTGCCAGGTGTGTAGGGTGTCCTGGAAGGTCCACAAGATAAAGCGAAGTAATAAAAAGAGATACTCAAGTTAAGCATCTTTTGATGTAAACACTTCCCACTCTATATTCTGCCATCCACTTCCAGCAAAATTCCTCAAATACATTTCCATTCCATTCAGGACTATGCACTTATCTAGGAAAACAAAAGCTTAACATACAGCGACAGTGGCTCAACAGCTTTTTACTAAAGTGGTTTCTATACAGTTACAAACTAGTCGGCTTGTAGACCCAAATTCCACCATTCAACACATGTAATATGAGGTTAGTGAAATCATAATCAAATGCCTGTAAATAAAGACCTGACAGAATGAGGCAAATTCTGAATTTCTCAGTGCTCCTTCAGCTGACAATGTAACTGGGTTGGTGTGGCAGGGTTTTGGTTGCAGGGGAGGGGCTACAGGGGTGGCTCCTGTGAGAAGCTGCTAGAAGCTCCAAGTCGGAGCAGGCCAAGGCTGAGCCTGTCAGTGACGGTGGTAGTGCCCTTAGGATACTGTATTTTAGAGGGGAAAAAGCTGCTGCAGGACCTGCAGTGGAGAGAGAGAGAGAGACATGGGATGTGAGAGAGAACAGGGCAGACACCCAGGTCAGTGCAGAAGGAGGGGAAGAGGTGCCCAGAGCAGAGGTTCCCTGTAGCCCGTGGGGAGAGGGCAGGCTGTGCCCTGCAGCCACGGAGGGTCACGGGGGGCAGACACCTGCCTGCAACCTGGGCAGGACCCCACGCCGGAGCAGGCAGCTACATCCAAAGAAGCCCATGACTCCATGGGAAGCCCAGGCTGGAGCAGGCTGCTCCTGAAGGACGGCACCCCATGGCAGGGACCCCACGCTGGAGCAGGGGCAGAGGGTGAGGATCCGTCCCTGGGGAGGAAGGAGCAGCAGAGACAGCGTGTGATGTACTGACCACAACCCCCCTTCCCCATCCCCCTGCGACGCAGGCAGGGAGGAGGGAGAGAAGTGGGGAGCAAAGCTGAGCCCAGGAAGAAAGGAGGAGTGTGGGAAGGTGTTTTAGGATCTGGTTCTCTCTCACTATCCTACTCTGAGTGTTAACAAATTAAGTTAACACTTATTTCCCCCAAGTCGAGTCTGTTTTGCCTGTGGCCATAATTGGTGAGTGACCCCTCCCTGTCCTCGTCTCAATCCATGAGCCTTCCATTATATTTTGTCCTTATCCCACGGCGGGGAGGAGTGAGCAAGCGAGCGGCTGTGTGGTGCTTAGTTGCTGGCTGGGCCAAAACCACAACAACTATAAAAGACAACATTAAGAAAACCTTTGCTATCCAAGTGAGAAGTACGTGTACAAAAGCATTGCCTGAGAAAACATCAGAACATGACATTAATAAAAGCTAAATAAAGATGGTTAATTATCTCCGCATGTCAGATGATTACCAAATCACAAGAGCTCTTACCTGGTGACAGAGAAGCAGGATTGTAAGGCCTGGGAGGGAATGTAAGCTGGGTACCAGGGATATAGGTGATTCTCTCCATGGGTGGTGTGCTTGTGCCTCCAGGATGAGGCACTAAGATAGTGGGAGCCATGTTGTTGAGGTCAATAATTCCTGTTAGGAGATGACACGTGTAAGAATGGCCATTCAAGGACAGACCAATGCTCCACACATTCTATGTTCTGTTCATTGGTAACAGTCCGCAGTGAATGTTTAGTGGAAAAAAAAGTAAGAATAAGGCAAGTGCAGAACTATATTTCAGCTGGTTATAGTCTCTTAGATCTGGCACTTTAGGAACATACTAAGAATTTGCATTTCTAGCAATCTTTTTGACTGCCCTTCCAAAATCCTTCCGACTGCCCTGACATCGTTCACTCCTTTTTCCAGACCCTTTATATCCATAAAATGAAATGAAATGTTGAAATGCACAGGTCCCACTGGAACTCCAATATAACTTACGCTACCATAAAACCCACTTATTCTTCCCTTTCCCACCAATTTAAACACTACAAGATCTTATATCTTATCCCCAAGATAATTAGTCCTACCAGCCTAATTCCCTCACATTTGCTATCTTCCATTTTTAAGGATCAAAACAGATTTAATCGGTAAACAGATTATCACATCCAGTGACCAAGGTGTAAGACTGACTATTTCCTGTCAAGTCCGTAACTCCTGGGAGAATGCCACGTAACCCCAAAGATGCATAACCATTAATTTGATTAACTTGTTCCAAGACTTTGCTCAACATTTCAACGTGAGTCCATCTGGCTTTATGAATTGTTCAAATATTTTACTTTTATGATCGCACATTTAACTTAAAGATTTCCATTTTCCTTGTTTGAGATGTTAATACTTTTGTGAGATGTCTTTTTACTTTTAATAGCTCCTTCCTGCTGCTGTTAAATGTCCAGACTGATTTAGGCTCTTCCCCACCCTGAAAAGGTCACACATTTGCTAACTCTAACATAACATCTTTAAACAATCACCACGTTGTTCACAAGCCTTGCTGGTTTGGCTATTGCTTCTATTTTAATTTGAAGTTCTCATTTTGATGTAATTCTCTTTTCTGAAGTTTGAAGAGGAGTTGAGTAGCAATTGAAACTAGAATAAAACAGTCTAGCCTCTTAACACTAACATGTCTTACAGCCTTCCCTTCAACAATATTGATTGTGTACAGTTTTCCTTTATATCCACAAAAGCCTGTTAGATGTATGTCAACGCACATCTGTACCAACATCTGTACATACGCACTTGTATGCATCCATCTATCCATCCCACCACAGGTATTTTTAAGCAGCAACAAAACAAACCAACCACTCAACCAAACCACACCGCATATCCAAAACACACTTTGAAGAACATTGTAAGACCCAGAGGCATACCTCTTGCTCCTGCATACGGGAGAGCTAAAGTTTGCTCTCTAGGAGATAATCCTCTCGTTACATCCGGACGTAAATTGACTTGCATCTGCTGTGAGGTAATGTAGTCGTTTAGGATTGTCTGGCGTGTATTCTCCATTGCGTAAAGCTGATACTGACTTGGGTAGCCTGGGGTGGGCGAGAGCTGCCTTTGGAACAGGTAAGCAGCAGCAGCTGAGGGTGAAGGAGGAAAAATGAGAAAGATTTAGGAAGCCGTATGGGTGATATCGAATGAAAGGTTCAGATATTTCTATAGCTTCTATGAGAAGTGCTATCAATTCTCTCTAGCCAGTGCCACATGAATTAAGACAGCATTTTAATACTGATGTTCTAGTGAAGTTATGCGCTGCATGCGGACAGCAAAAGCTAAATAAAATAGATGTCTCCAGACTGGTGACATGCATTAGAGAAGAGACTTGATGAAAAATGTAAATCCTGAAGTTCTGAAGATGTAAAGGGCTGAAATACCTAAAGAAGGTTAAAATACCTCACAGAAGTGGACTGATGGATAGGTTAAAAGGAAGTCTACCCTATTTAATATCACCAGAGATAACCTGATAATCCCTCAATGAGAATGAATCCTGAACAGAGGGGTCCTGATGACACCTTAGTTCTACAGCAGCTTCCACATCCTTCTTTGCATAACAGTCCTGAAAGCTGTTAACGTATTTCACAAATACTTATCTAAAAATACTGGCTGAACTTTTTAACAAGACAAGCAACCCAGCAGCTTCTAAAAGAAAGTCACAGTATTGTACAAGAATAAGTTTCCTGGTTAGCTAATAAACCCCACACAAACACTTGAAATCAAACCACAACAGTGGATATATAACCTCTTATAAATTATATCTGGCCATTGATAAATGCCTTTTAAAGGTACCTTTTCTGTGCAAAGCATAAAATATTTCCAAAACAAAAAAACACCAATACAAATGTATTTACCAGGATCCAGAGCCCTGTGAAATGGCATAGCGGGATCTAAATGAGGAGGGAGGTGACTCCTATAGACTTCAGGAGTTGCTCCTCTGTGATGAGGATCAAAAGGACTGTGAGTCACTACAGGATCAACCCCTGGCACTGGAGATTTTGCTGGCACGCTCTCCCTCTGTGTCGGAGTGAGTGTGTTTTTCCTTTCGTGATTTGCTGGCTTCCCAGAAGATATTCCAGCTAAAAACAATGAAAAAAACCAAATTAATAAAACGTGTATTTTTCAATAGAAAATCCAGCTGTAAGTATACACTGGCTCCCAAGGAACATTCTAGAGGACCCTGCAATCTGATACAATAAATCACAGAGAATATTTTATATCACAAACTGTTTCTGGTGAAAAATCAAAATCCTGAAACTGAGATTGTTTATACTTCACCACATTTTCTTCCTCATCTAGATACCTCTCTAATTCTGGAATAGCTTCTGCCCTTAATACAATGCCCTTGTAGGTAACGCTTTCAATGTGATCCATAATCAGATGCAAACTGAGACTGAACTGCCTTCCCACCATCATGTTACAATACAGCAGAGTTTTCATTTTCTTATTTCAATGCATAGCTTACAGCCATCTAAAACTTCTACTAGCCACCCTTTAAACCGAGAGGAGCTGTTAGAATAATGACCAAAAGAAAATTTAAAAGAGAGTAGAATGGATTACAGAAACCAGTTTAAAGTAAGTTTAAAATTAAATTATTACAAGTTCTCGTCTTACTCTGGATAGGAATAACATACCCTCGCTAACTCTATTCATCATAGGTGAACTCCTGGACATTGGGCTCTGATAGCTCACAGGTGTTCTCCGAGCATTCGTATCATCATAAATCCCAGGGCTCAGCTGTGATTTGGGAGTTTCATGAAGAGTTGACCTGAGAACAGAGGGACCAGAGCTGACTACTGATGTGTGACGGGAACGTACTGCATCCCCGGTCTTCACATCTTCATATTTTCCTCGCTCCACCACCTTCACGTTTTCTGGCACCATTTCCAGCTGAGGCATTCCACGGGGTAGTTTGCTTGGTCCAGTGATTAAAGATTTTACATTGTGTTTAATGGCAGACTGGCCAGAGTTGCTTTCATATTTTATGGGTGTGCCCTGAAACGGAGAAAAAGAGCAGGTAAGGTTATCCTGCCAGTATTTCACTCATGCTAAAAAAGTCACACTGCTGATATTGTAGTTCATTGCTTCTATCACTTCAGCACAGAACACAACCGGATCCTAGTGACTGTTACTTGCCAGATCTCTCACATTTGCTTGCAAGCATGTTCCCTATGGGTGCAGCGTCAGGATTTTTCTAATACACAGAAAATATTTTTAAGCTTTCTAAGTCTGTAGGTTTCTTAAAAAAACCCCAACCCCCTACCCCTATCTGTCATTATTCAAATATCCTGTATTGTGCTTTTTGTATTTACCTGAGATATGGAGCCTTCTATGATTGGCCTGGTCGTCTGCACCATTTCAGGAGTCTTGCGACTCTCCTGGCTTAACAGGTCCTGCCTTGGGATCTCATGGATGGAACGACCCATTTCTTTTATAGTAGTGACTCCATCATATGGTTTCCCCTTAGTAATGGCTCCTTCAAATGTCCTTATGGGAGGTGACTCTCTCTTAATCTGTTTAGGGTATTTCAAGCCTTCTTCAAAACTTTCAGCTGTTGCTCTCGGTGTGCCTTTTATAGAACGAAAGTTTCATATTACTGGTATTAATAAATACTTGGTCCTTTTTCATCAACAGAGTAACAAACTACACACCGCAATACTGGAACCTTGGCTTGTTACAATCTGTGAGAACGTATCTGGAAGACTAAAAATCCCCACAAAAATTATACTGAACAAATATTCAATGTATTACTGAAAACATCCCAAGTTATTTCTGATGATGAAATACAGGAAATAGCATATATCTTCAGAGGTCCAGGGAATTGTTACTGTGCATTTAAAAAAACAAGTGCTAATTATCAAGTACTCATATTAAAAAAAGGTCTATTTTCTAAAACAAACTAAATGCTGTTTACTCTCCAGCTTTGTGTACAGCGTATCAGAAAGCTGCTGATTTATGATCTGATGTTTAATAAAGTAAGCTCCACCTTTAACACAACTACCACTGTTAATAACAGTTTTAAGGTTCAGAAACCCAGAATTTTGAGGGTGTAATTAAATGCTTTCCTCCTAAACAGGCAATACTTTACCTTGCATTATAGAGCCAGACAACACTGTTCTCTCTTTCAGTTCAGCATGTGGGCTACCCCGAGGCAGTGCTCGGCATATTAAACCTAAAATTAAAATGAACATCATTTACAGAATTAAACAAGTGTTCAAAAAAAACCCCAGACCAACAAAACCTCTCCTCCTCCTGACACACACTACAGATATCATCTGTATCACCCAGAGGGCCTAGCCTCGGTATGCCAGGCCTTGTATCAACATGTTTGAAACACCATCCTGCCTTAAAAAATACCTTTCAGTTCAAGTATTCATGCTATTACATTGTTGCAAGTTTTAACCTATTTTGAAAACACAGGGTATTTTTTGTAATTAAGCTGAACTCTCGTCCCAAAAGCAGTGCCTGCATCTTACACTCCAGCCTCCTTACCTAGCCAATAAAGGTGTTCATGATGGGAAATGGCCATAAACACACCCCAGAATATACCTCAGCATCCTCCAAATTAATCAAAGTTCATACTGAATCATCTAGAACGAGCTGAATTTCTTGTTCCTATAGTAGGAATCTAAAACAAACCCCTCAAAGAACTCAGTTTTCCACAGTTTGAGGACAGAAAATGTGTCAGAGCGATGAGAAGCAGCATAGAAGTATCAGAGCAGCTTTTCATAAGCCAAAATAACCCAGACGACAAGCCAAATGCATCAGCAACTTAAAGGCAACACTGAATTTCTATCTACAGCCTAGAAACCTCTTATTCATACTGTTCCATCTGATGTAAAGGTAAACAAAACAGCCTTTAAGGGCTACCCAAAGATGGGAGAAAATACACTTAAAGAGTAAGACTCCAGAGTTTAGGTGTGAAACAACTTCTTTTGTTTGTATTTTTAAAAAACAATCAGAAAAGTCATATAATGGCCTGACTTGACCTTTGCAGTCTTCGATTACAGGTTAGTAAGTCAAAATAATATTAGGGATGCCCTGAAGCAGGGCACGGCAGCTGTGGCTACCCAAAGATGGGAGAAAATACACTTAAAGAGTAAGACTCCAGAGTTTAGGTGTGAAACAACTTCTTTTGTTTGTATTTTTAAAAAACAATCAGAAAAGTCATATAATGGCCTGACTTGACCTTTGCAGTCTTCGATTACAGGTTAGTAAGTCAAAATAATATTAGGGATGCCCTGAAGCAGGGCACGGCAGCTGTGCAAGTCTGCTTGGCATAATTAAGTTTATGCAAAAGGCCATGTCAATGTGTCACCAAGTTACTCTGCCACGGCCGTGCAGCAGTATTTTATCTGAATGAGTGAGTCCACGGAGTCCATGCTCACATGAATGAGTGTTGTTTGAGTTCTGTCACAACCCACTGGGACTGTCAAGAGTCACTTACACGTGTCAGATCTACTTAGAGGAGTAAACGCCAGCTGAACTACCTGCAATTATGGTAACAAACCACCAAAACACCGGTGTGTTTTAATGATATTGGTTATTAGATGGATTTGGTTAGTAGTGTAAGATTTCAATCTAATTTCTCTTTCAGTTGGCTCCATAAAATAACTCTAAATACTCTTACATCAATGCAAAATGTTTGGGTAAAACACGAGACACCTTGGAAACTGTTTTTACCTTCCAGCGGTGCAGACACTGGAGAATCCCGCATTGACATTCCTTGCTTTATATTTCCTTCCATTGTATCGTAGCTTCTCTTCAAACCAATTTCATGAGCGGTTCTTGGACTCCTTGTTCCTTCACGAACGTTTTTAATAGCTGGCAAGATTTACAACAGCGTGGTTAGGAAATGTGGACAATAAAAAAAAGAGACACACGAGCATTACATTTAATGAGACCACAGGTCGTGAATACTTTAACACCACAACTGCAATATAACACTGTAACGTTAAATCTCAACTTTAAAAAGACTTTTCATGATTTGTTAAAAAATATATTTGTCCAAACAGTTACTAATTTATCAGTATTTCCACTGAAGTTGAAAGTTAAATGATACACTTCATTTTAATACAGCTAATTAATACAAAATTTTAATTTTGAACCTTTCAAAATAAAATATATGCTTGAACTATGGATTAGAAGCACAGAACCTGCTGCAGCCTTGACTTTGATCAGGTAGAATACAAAAATACTCACTATCATAGGATAAAATATGCCCACTTTTGCCTTCATAAATAACATGGCCTTTGGCTGAAGCTTCCTCTCGGCATTTCTCTGGGCTACTGTCTTCTGTAGCTAGCCGGGTGATAGTTCCCTTCAGTAAGGCATCAGCTGCTATGCCAGACTGGGACAGAGCTGGTGTACCCTGCATTTAAATCAATCAAATATAATTCAGAACATGCGTATTTATTTAAGAGAATAGGGAACAGTCAAGGGGAAAAAAACCCCAAACAAAACAAAACCCAAACCCCACAACGTTTTTAGATCCAGAAGACCAGTTACTTTATCAAGCAGTATGGCTTAAACTTCTGCCTCTATTGTTAGATGTTTAACTTATATTTTAGTAAGATTATTTCTAGGCAATTTGCTACCTTGTTAAAGAAAAACAGAAAGAAGACTAGGGAGTACAACACGAAAGAAGTATTTCATGACCTAGAAGGTTTATCCTATTGGTAATACCATACCACATACGACATACTTAACAGTGTCATTAGGTTTTATCTCTACCCAAAGGACCCAAAGGAATGAAACCTACCCTCCTCAGAGGAGAATTGTTACTATTGCCCTCCCTAACTAGAGATCCCAAATCAACCACAGCAGTAGCGTTTCAAAAATCACGAGTCAAAAGGGCTTAATTTACCATTTTGGCTTGAAACAGCATCTGCTCAAGACTGGCTACAGTTGATTTTAATATTTGAACTCAGGTGTGATGCTATTTTCATGGAAGCTGCTAATCAGCCTTCAGTTAGGTATATCAAAGGATCTGATGGTTTTATTGAAAATGTTTAAATACTCCTACACACGAAGATGAAATCGTGGTAATGCTGACTTCAACAATAGTGACCATCTGATTGTATTAAGATTTCTCTTTTTGAGGCAGTTCCTACTCTGTAACATTGATTTCCTTTTTCAGACATGCAAATACATTCACAGTTACAGTTCAAATTCACTGTTTTGCTACAGCCTTCTCAGTACAGGGAAAAATACCTGAGTTATGGAGCCTCTCAAAGAAGGAATGGTCTCAACAGAAACTTTATTGGTGGGAGTCCCTCGTGTTATACTGCCCTCCTGTATCGTTGCGGTACCTGATTTGAAATAAGAAGACATCCTGATAAATAAGGGGAAAAAAAGTAGCTACTCTATTTGAAATAATTAAAAACTCTAGTGAGAACTGTTAGTTTACACTAAAATCCAGGGAAAATTTCAGTGTAACAGCATACATTTGAAGCAGTTAGACTATTTCCTCTTTTAACAGTCTTTTACAGACTAAAAGTCTTTTATAGCATGTGAAACCATGGTGTTTAGTTTCTTTTCTTTTGATGCATTTGGATATTTCATTGCTCTGTGTATGCTCTAGTGAGCAACTTAATTTTAAAACTGGCATGCCTTGAAACAAATGCTTTTAAATCAGACATACAGATGGGAGGGAGAAGTAACAAATACACAAGCCTCAGAAAATGGAGAGATTATCATAGAATTATAGAATGGTTTGGGTTGGAAAGGACCTTAAAGATCATCTAGTTCCAACCCCCTGCCAAGGGCAGGGACACCTTCCACCAGATCAGGTTGCTCCAAGCCTCATCCAGCCTGGCCTTGGATGCTTCCAGGGATGGGGCATCCACAGCTTCTCTGGGCAACCTGTTCCAGGGCCTCCCCACCCGCTCCGGGGAGAATTCTTTCCTGATACCTTATCTAAACCTCCCCACTTTCAGTTTAAACCTGTTACCCCTCGTCCTGTCACTACAGGCCCTTGTAAAAAGTCCCCCCCAGCTTCCTTGTAGGCCCCTTCAGGTACTGAAATTAATCATGTAATACTTAAAAAATAACACTTCAGCAGTCTGTGCTCTAAAAGTTAATTCCCTCAGTTTCCTCAGGCCCTGACAAAGTTGCTTAATCTGCACAATTTTCTTTACCTCGAACCACACTTTCATGTTGTGCCCTGACCAGGAGTCCCTCGGGTTGGGAATTCTGACTTCTAGGAGAGAATTCTTCTTGTTTGATATAGGGCAGGGAAGCTATTCAGAAGAAGAAAAAGGTTGAGTTGTTTTTTCTTTAATTATAAGTCATTAAAAAGCCTATATAACAACATGTCAGCTTTTCTTTTCTTACCAGATTTGGCTGACTCCTGCTGCCTTGGCAGCCCAAGAGATATAGAACCCACTGATGGCTTTGCAGTTTCTTGCGTGTAGGAAGCTTGACTATGGGATGTTAAGTAAGTGCCAGGTGTTCCCTGAAACAACAAATATATGTTAATTCTTGTTTCTGGAATGAAGATTCACATCTATGTTTAAAGGAGAATGCTAATACTGCTATGATCCTATCTTAAAATACAGTCCACCACTGCAAAGTATCGAAGTGCAGAACACCAGGGTGTGGTGTCACTGGTAGTTTGGAGCTGCAGTTCACTGAAACTGGACATCCTCAACCATGCTACTAATCATAAATAACAGCAACATGTTCTAGTTCACAGGGCACCTGTAATTCCTGGATGTTTAGAGATGGCAGGTATAGGTCAAGTGTTAATGCTGTGAACACAACCGAGTACAAGATGTTGGAGGTTGGCAAGAGGGCTAAAATTTCATCTAAGACCAGATTTGCAAATAATAATTCTCTTACTTGTGAGATTGAGCCTCCCATGATGAAGGAAGGTTTTTCTGCTGGCACACTTGTTTTGGAGGATGGAATGAGAGGTGGTGGTGGTCTGGTGGGTCTGGTTGTTGGCAGGCGGACTCCTTCAGGTATATTGGTTATTACTTGGTGAGGTGCTGGCTGGAGAACTTGGGGAGAAAATTGTACATTAAACATTACAGCCTGCTTCAGCTCTACTGGTTGTTAGAGAAGAACAGAAACAGGACACATGGCAATTTCTGAAGGGAATTGCCTCACAGTACTCAAATCTATCTTGCTGTATTTACAACTCTGTTGAGCACAGACTCTGGATGGAGAGTATCTAACCTCGCATCAAAGTTCAAAAAGAAACGGCAAAAGCTGAACTGTAGAATTGCAGACTCTGAAAACGAAGCTTTTAAAAATAACAGCCCAGGCTACATTCAAAGTTTTTGCTGGTTTTCTGTTTATAAAGAAAGTTCTTATTTAAATGGAATGCAGCTGAGTCAAGTATAACCTAAGCTTCCCTGATTTTGTCTTTTCTTAGCACATCATTGCACTCTGAAGGGAAAAACAATAATCCAAGCTTCAGAATTAAGATTTGTCAGTTATTTCACTGTTTTACAAAACATTCTGACTATAATATTAAACAGTTACAGCCAGAAACTAACGCCAAGGACAGCAGCAGCTTTCCCTTTTCATCAACTCCCCCCTTCATAATAAAGGCTGCCCATGAATATGATGGTATTTGTATTGAACCGATAAACTCTTGATGACTTTGTCTCTATGCTGTTCTAAGACTTTTTAGATCATGCTATTTGCTTAATAAAATACACGGTACGCAGCTGATGCAGCCATAAAGAACAAAAATATAACCTCACTGGAGCTAGAAAAATACCAACTGTCCATATACATCCACACACAGAGAAAAAAAAAAAAAATCTATTTCCTTCTTCGGTTAAGTCACAAAGTGTCCAGACCATAATCTGATATTACATCAAGTCAGATAAGTCCAGCTTCCAAGGGAAGGCTTATTGCTGTGATAAGTACCAAAATATTTACCTGGTGGGACACTATAGCGAGCTGCGTTCATATCGGGCTGGGGAGAGGCTTTATTGACTTCTCTGGGAGACAGCCTGTATGGGGATGCTGACCTTGTCACTGTATTCTGCACCTGTGCCTCCTGTTCTATTGCTCGCTTGACCTCAGCGTAGGGCATATAGGCCACTGGTTTTCCTGTGAAGGTTAAAGTTTTTAGAAAGAAGAACCCTGGATTAGAAATTAAGAGCCAAAAGGTCCAGTTTACAGCACAGTTTTAACAAAGGGCCTACTTCAATGTCAGATGTGCAATTGGTACATCAGGTACAAATGTTTCCATTAAAAAGTAGTATTAAGTTACAGCTTAATTTAATACGTTATGTCTGTACTTCTATATCCAAAGCTTGGAAAAACTTCCTCATACTTTTTACGTGTGAAAACCAGTAACTTGTTCCTTTAGGTCCTAAGTGAAAGTTCTAATGTTGAAAGGGATTTCATTTAAAGAAGATTCCTTTCCAAATCCCGTGCATCAGCCAGGTTTACATGCCAATCCACCAGACAAAAAGGCTCCCTTTCTTGTTTGGTTGGTCAGAGAAGTTACAAAACAAATTTCAAATATCAATAATGCCCATTAATGTTGTTTAAAGGGAAAATATTTTTACTGAATTTAGGAAATTAAAAATCCAGTACCAGAGCTTCACAAATTCCTTTTCCTTGGCAATGAACAATTTAAGGATTCAAAATTACAAGCCCGAACAAGCAGCTGTGAAATTACATCTTTAACCTCTGTAGTCAAAGAAAGATGGCACTCGTCATCCCCTAAGAGCTTTCTAAAGCATTTTTACTATTTTATTTCATGGCACAGTATTGTGTAGGCTGTCATAAGCCAGTTCAACAGCAGGCCCTTTAGGCTGACAAGATGCCCCCCAAGACAGGCTGTGTTCCAGTGCAGCAATGCAAGATTTCAAACAGCCTGCGGGCTCTGCTGCCCACAGCAGCTGGTGGGCAAGCTCCACATGCACAGTGTGTCTCAGGAAGTAGCTGTCCTAACGGCCTAACGACATCTCAGCCCCTCTGTTTTTCAGATTAAGATGTAACTGGGTCCTACAAGCCTGGACACTAACCACGTTACCCCTCCCTCTCTGCCTCAATAACCACCTTGATTTTTGCTGGCAGAGCCTTCACCCCAGAACTTTCCCACACTTCATAGCACCATACCGCCAACGCCAAGAGTTATTCAGGTAGTATTTCAGTTACACGGTGCTTTTAAGCAACCCCAGACTTTCCACCTAAAGAAGCAAGTTCCAAAAACCACAATCGTACCCTCCCCTCCACAAATCTACAAGCTCTCTTCTCACCACTATAACCATTTTTTTTGCCTGTTAAGTTTCTTTCATTTTACTTGGGTAAAAGTAATTAAGGCGAAGCATTTTTATAACGTAAGTTAAAATTGTTATGCATATTAAATACAGAATACTCAAATTTCAAAGAACACGATAGCATCACAGTCGCATAGTTCCATATTTTCAGCTTTTATATCCTTGTGCGTGGTTTCTGTTGTCTCCACAGCAGTAGCAACACAAACTAACATTGTAACATCCAGCACATTAATCTCACTGGGTTTATCTCCCTGTTACAACGTACACTTTGTGGACCTATTCTTTTTCTTGTAAGGAAAGCTGAGGTAAACGTGACACATTTTATCCATCCCATAGGATAGGCTTTTCTTGCACAAAAAAGGCAATCTTCTGCTAAGCTGGTTGCAATTTGCAGGCTGTTGATAGAACTAAAATAGCTGCCGTTCAAAAAATGAAAATATAGCAAATATACACAGAGAGAAAGCACAATATGAATGTCTAATTAAAGCTACCAAATGCATCCTTTGGCTCTTATGCAGCAACTTGGATGATGTGACACACAGTGTCCATCTGAATCGCTCTCCCACAAACAGCCACACTAACAGACATGTCCTTATTAAGTCGCCTTGACAGGTTCTGTACTGAAGATCACACTAGGAGCCACATCCTGGAAACACAGGTCCAGATCCCAGAGTTCAGATCAAACCCTGCCTCTGAGTATCCTCTATATACACAAAACCAACTAACCATCAAATTTCCGAGAGCAAAAACCTATCACACAGCCCTTCTGCAGACAGACCGGCTAGAGCACGACAGTTCCACCATACCTGCGTGCCCTACTCGGGGGCTCAATGTCCATGTACGTACTCCAGTGCAGTAACACTCCTCTCAATTGTACTCATATTCCTCCCACCTTTACCTTAAGCTTCAGAAAGGGGATCCCCCTGAACATGCAGGTATCTGGGTCCTCTCACCTGCACATCCGATCTTTCTGAATCTCTCTCTGTAGGAACAACGCATTTTTGGATTTCACCTAAATGCAGCCAGTTTTTCTGCCCTATCTAAGTAGGCTACAAGGTAGTTCTCCCAACACTGTAACCACAGCAGGATCTGTAGAGCAGACAGGATCCTTCAATCCCAGTAGTTCATTATCAGTACACTGAACTTTCCTTCTTAAACGAGGCAGCAGTGTTAAGACGCAGACATAAAGCGCAGGATTATTTCCATGACAGATGTGAAAATGCCTACCTTCCCACTCAACATTAGGGCTCTTGGAAGTACCACAAGGGCTTACAGCACTTCGATACTCCATATCCAGCTGCTCTTGCCTCTGGCGCTGCTCCTCCAACAGTGCCGACTCATGCATGGCCTTAATGTGCCGTTGATAGAGCGCATAACCACTCACTGGTGTTCCAACAGGAACAGTACAGGGACTGCAAGAAACCTGCGGGGATGGGAAGGTGTTAACATCAGGTACATTAATACAGGCACTTACTAAATCAACTACCTTGCTCAATGCCTCCCCTGCAGTGGCTGTAGTTCACGTATAAGCATTTCACCTGTTTTTAAACTATTACTTGGATATTTGTGTATACTTAACCCCTCAAAAGTAAAGCAAACGATACATTTCTGAATTTGTTCCACTATTTTTTGCCGTGTTAGTGTTGCAACTAGTTTTAGGGACAACAGATACTCCTTCAAACATCACTTAAAACACCCCATACCATAGGTGGTATGACAGCAGCTCGGTGGTGAAGCTGTTGCAGGTCCATCGGCCCTTGCTTTATTGTGGATGATACCAGTATTGACCCAGTGGGATTTAATAGTGAGGGCTTCGACTCCCTGCTGAAGATACTGGAAAAGGAGATAGAAGAGAAAAATATCAACAAGACCAAGATTAAATATTGTTTAAAAAAAAAAAAAGGCAAAAGTATGTCTCTCAACTTCAAAAAAACAACACATTTAAGACACTGAACAGATAGCTGAAAAATAAGAATCATGTTGTGTTTTTCCCACTGCACTTCTGGTAGAAAAGGCAACAGATGCTTCTGTATTTTTATAATGGCAGAAATACCAAAAGTAGTGTTCAGACTCTCCTCTCCAATACCAGAAATGAATGTATGCTGTTTCTATATGCACAGTACTGCAAGGACGCAGCGTTCCTTTTATAAAGAATCCTTTGAAAAAAACAGATAGGAACCACTAGATATATTCATATTCATAAACAAACAGTAGCATTCAATAGACTGCTTTCACCTGGACGCTAATATATTTGTGAAGTAGAAAGATGATGTCGAAGCGGCGAGAAAGCGCAGCAACACCATCAACTGTACTCTTCCAAAAACCACATGCAGAAGAATGACACTGGATACTTTTGACATTTAACGTCTATCCTTGGTACTGTGCGTATATTAAGACCACTGGGAGGGAGAGGGCACTGGCTCCGATGCTGCGCTGTGGTTACACAGGAATCACACCAACATAACACCAAAAACACTTGAAATACCATCAGTGGTATCAGCCGTCCCCCAAAACACAAAATGGTTCCAAAGACATGCAGCTTTGCCTATTCAAAGCCCTGTACACTCGTGTGGGTTAGCCAGTGTTTAGGGCCAAGCTCCCAGGAACTGGCATTTGCATGAAGACTTGGTACGCTTTGGAGAAAGAAGTCATCCATTTCCCAGGACGCTCACCCGTTAGTTTACGGACACTGACTGATAAGAGTGAGAAATACTTCCACTACTTGATTATTAACAGCCTTCAAGAGATTCTACTGACCGACAGAACATGGTTCGATGACAGTAACTGGGTACAGGACTCTCAAGGTTATACAAGCAAATAAACGTGAAATGTTAAAAACTAACTAAAATATCAATATTTCATGCCCCTAGACTATTATTTTTTAAAAGCAAGTTTCAACTCCTACTAAAAGATATATTCAGGCTGTTTATCAAATTCAAGGTGTTTTGGATGCATTCTATTAAACTGAGTTTATGAGAGCAAAATCCATTAAAACAACTCCATCTCCGAATTTCTGTATCTACTTTCAAATAGTTTCTCATTAAAGGGAATGGAGAGCCCACTTACTATCCCACACTAACCAATCACACTTAACAGAACTACTTAACATGGGAACTCATGCCAGGAGCATCTTGAATCCCTTTCCTTGCTTTGGGAAATTTTCATTGTTTCACTAAGCTGCTCTCCTTCCCAGACAGCTGTTTAGCACAACTCCCATTCTCTAAACAGATCCCAAATGGCTTGATTTCCCTCATTCTCTAGCTTTTCAAGTAGCTGTGCTAGTTTCCTATCTACTTAGTCAGCCTATCACCATGGAATTTTGTTTTACCCTGCCTTAGAAGACCCTTCTTTTGGCTTTTCATCAAAATTTTAAATTAACATTTCTCTCTGTTGCACTTCCAGCAGAGACTCTTAGTAGAAACTCACACCAAAAATGTCACTACTGATAACAGGTTTTGGAACCCTGTGAAGTAAAACCAATTTTTAAAGAACTTCTGAAAGACAGGAATATTTGAATGCTAAACAAACTCACCCTTGTCTCTCAGGCTCTCCATCAACCTCCTCATCAGCACTACAGGTGGCACTTGAATCATTATCTGAGTGGGATTCTTGTCTTGCTGTATTAACTTGCTGTGACAGACTGTAGTCCATTTCCTCCGGTTCTGACTTTTCCTTGGGTTTCTCCATCTCTCTCTCTTTGGCATCACTCTCTATTTTCACTTGAATATTCTCTGGTAGCCTCATTTCAGTCTCTACAGGTTCTACTTTGGTATGCACTGGAAGAGTAATCACAGGCTTAGCTTCAACTGGATGGCTTCTACTGTCAACCTCCATAGGTTCCTCTGCCTCATTGTTTATTTCTTCCTTAACCTGTGGCTCAGGGTTCTGACTTTCAGCTGTTGATACATTTTGGGTTGTTAAGGAGGGAGACATGCTGGTGGCAGGTTTAATGGTAGATTCTTGCTCTGCTGTCGCCTCAGTGGTTACTTTCGAAGCAGCGCTCTCAGGTGGAGTTTCTTCACTTGGCTTAGCAGGTTCTGCTGGAGTTGGAGATGGAGCACTTTCTGTATCAGAACTATTTTCAGCACCTGAAAATAATATTTTAGCATAAAAGTTCAGTGTTAATGAAATCTAACTAGGCTTTGATGAACTGCTTCTTTAGAATAATCAAATCTGGGTCTGCTGTCCCAAAACACAACACAAATGCCCTGAAGAACTGACTCACAAAGGGAGAGTCACCAAAAATCAACAGGTGCAGGTTAAAGAGGGAGGCTGGAATTACAGGAACAAGACCACTTAGCTGTCTCTGATCTTACAGCCAGCCAAGTAAACCCTCGTGCATATGTCAGAGATTGGTACTTCAATATATGATGCAGCTCTATTACAAGATTAGTGTCAACATTCACAGTACCGAAGGCGCAGCTGTAATGCCTTAAATTAACGCGTCGCAGAGACATCACTGGCAGAAATGGCAAAGCACTGATTTTACGCGAAAATCTGTCGCATTTTATTGACATGTTGAACTGCAATTCTTGCTGTAAGTTAACAGTTCTAGTTTACGTCCTTTGTGTTGTGAAGCACTGTTTTCCTGAAAACTCATTTTTACACTCTGTGAAAGGTGTAAACAGCATCAACAGCTGAATACCAGTTACAGAAGGGTATAGGTTCTTGCAGTAAAGAACCTTCCTTGTCTTCTCAGCCCAGTTCATGAACTCCATTATAAATAGCTCTTAGAGAAATAAACACATTTATGAAAAGCTATGGCAACATTGAGAACACAGATGTTATATTCAAGCCTTATCTTCCGATAAGAATCTTCATTCCTTAGAAGGACATCAATATTTTAACAGCATTTGTCAAACAACTGGGTGCAATGAAGATCCATCCATTTTAAACTACCTACTGTAAAACAAGTGATTCTGACTTACAGAAATGGACAATTTGCTGAATTGCACACACACCCTGAAACTTAAAGAAAACCCTCAACAACCCAAATCCCCAGCACTCAGCCATATTCTCTCATTCATTGTTTATGAATTCTATTGCTTACAGCTCCACAAAACGCTGGCCAAGACTGACCGGTGCTGAGTGCTTGTAATTGGTAGCAGTTGCAACCAACACAATACTTAAATTTGCCTGTCTGAAGCTTTACTGAGACTATCAAGTGGCAAAGGTTACATATCTTTGATTCAACCTGTTTCACCACGCAGAAGTATTTTGATCAGGTGCTGTCTGTTTACCCTCTAGAAGACAGCATAGTCAAAGCATCTCAAAATACTAAGCAATAACATCTTAAGGCTGCTCCATACTAAAAATTCTTTTTTGCCCCTCCAGTGAGTTCCAATTGCTAAAATCCAACTGAAACATAGTCTGAGTGCTACATTATCAACTGGAACACAGCAGTCTGAGCATTAATTGGCCCAAAACATAGGATCCTTTCTGTGCACACACAAGTTCCCTTCCCCGAAAAGTTACCTTCACTGTCTTCTGGATTCTCTTCTTCATTAGATGCTTCAATATCTTCATCCTCCTGAGCCGACACAGTCGAAGCTACGCTCTCACACTGCGACACATCTCGTTCCTCACGGGGCCTTCGCGAAGACTGATAAAGACACAGCATTTACACTGTACTGAAAATCTGACAGTATTATTTCCTTTTACATGCACTCTAATTTATCAATCTGAGGTTGAAATGAAAGGCAGAGAATACCTGTTTAGCACAGATTCATTTAACGCTTTCCACTTCAGGCCAGCTTTTGCTGCTCCTGAACAAACTAAGTTTGGGAACAAACCACTGTCTCAAGATTAAGTTTGGGGGACAACAGAAGTACTGCAGCAAAGACAGACACTGATGCGCTTCACTATCCTGACAGAAGACCAGGATAAAACTGCAGTTTAGAGCATTCCAACACTCAGGATTGTACTCTAGATGTCCCAAAGTTTTCAGTTCCTGGTCTTCTACCAATTCTCTTGCTCTGTTTTGTAAGGTTAGTGCTTATTGTGTTTCAAGGTAACTGTTCTAAAGCGATGACCTAAACCTTTATCGTTGCTGGTGTACTGATAAGGAACGCGCTTGTCAGCGCACTAAGGAACTCTTCAGGCTCGAGTGTTCTGATAGAAATTGCATTTTAAAGCAAGAAGTGATTAGTATCACAGGCCAGTGAGCATCAGCCACCTTTTCTAGGAGATTTATGTCACAGCACAAAAACAAGTAGAAAAGGAAATAAGCGGTGGTTGCAAAACAGTGAAGTGTGATGAATGACTTCAGAAAGATGCTAGGCTTTCCCCTGCAAAACACTCAATGCCACTGCACCTACCTTCTGTTTGTGCTGTTGGAGAAGGCTGTCCAGATTGTGTCTCCTTTTATAGTTGAAGTAGAAGTTCTTGCACTGAGCTTCACTTTTCGTCCCAACCATTTTGGCAATTGCTGCCCAGTTTCGTCCATGTTCCACTAGGCCTGTTCAAACAAACAAGAAACAATATTTCATATGATAAATAATTAGCTATCCAAAGCCAAAAAAATGGAACATCTATGGGAAGGTAAGTTACAGAAGTACTGCTGTTCTTAAGAGAACTCTCACTATGACAATGTATTTGATTACTTATGGGGTGAAAAAAAGCTGTGTCAACCCAAAGGTCTGCTTATAAAGCCTTCAAATGTAACTCTCTGCTGTTGCTAATGTGTAATGCATCTGCTAAAATATTGATTTTATATACAAAATTTGCAGAGAACAGTGTCTGTCAAATGCCAAGTTATAAACTACATTTGCTTTTCTATGAAAAGTGTCTTATACAAAAGGAATTTTTGTAACTTATAAACACACTCTTTTGAAAATTTACATATGACACCCCCCCTTTCCATCTGTTTCACAGACTTCCGTGCACTAAGTACAACGTCAAACAGTTCTAAGTAGCCCATATGAACAAAGTCAACATGAGTCTCAAAAAAATGATTTTGTCTGTTAAAAAGGCTTGCCTTTTTTTCCCAAGTTATTCATACAGCATGATGTTGCAAAAGTCACAGCTCCTATATTCAGTAAATTGTTATAATTTTGTAAATACAAGTATTCAGTAGTCAGTCAAAAGCTTCACAAGGTTTACCTTTCTTAGCAACTTCCATTTCTTCTTCTGTCCAGCGGGATGTCTCCACAGGCTCTGTAGAAGCTGAAGGAGAAACAAAGACACTGATCAAAGACCTGGATTGACTATTATGGCACCAATCATGGATACCACAGTCAACTGATCTATTTGCATTAAGGCTTGTGCAAGTCACTGCCAGTGGGAAGTAGTCAGTCTCTATTAAACCAAATCAGAGATCCAGCAGGAACCACCACAGTCTTGGCAGAGCAAACTGTTCAAGACTATTCTGCCTACAAAACTGTGATTATCTGTCAAGGCTGACTTGTAACTTAGACATATTTACCCCTAAAACTGTCAGCATTTACCAACAACTACTTAAAGCAGCAATTCAACATGCTATAATCTACCTCCGTTTATTTCCCTGACTGCCGTGGAAAGGACTGAAATGGTTCTTTATTGATTAGTGGGTATCTAGAAATCTACTCTTGTACTCACCGAATCTCCTACTAGACAGAGAAAGATAAAAGAAAACGAAACCCCAGTAAGTAAAACCACGCAGAAAACGTGGTTTTGAGTATGATTCAATGCAAAATCCTCTTCATTCATGTCTCTGGATTTGCTATCATTCTGTTCAGATTTCTGAATGGCATTAACCTGCAACAGCCTCCATTTTCTTTCATAAAATCTGCCATTACAAAGAGCATGCAACATTGACCCTTCCAAAACTCGTTAACAAACAAAGTAGGACACTACAAAGTATTTGATCCGCTGAACAGCTATTCTGGATTTTCCAGAAAACCATGCAAAAACAGCTTCAAAAAACCAAAACCAAAATTAAAACCCAATAGTGCCTTAGTCTGGCTGCTGACAAAAAGCCACCACATCAAGAAACCTATCACCAGCTGATGTTTACAGTTAAACGAAAACTAATTTGCCCACTTACTCTGCTCTTTGGGATACGCAGAATATTTGAGCGACACAAGAACTGTTACAAGTTCTCGAATGGCAGCTGCAGTAACTACGAGTTAAGAGCTGGGAGCAACAAACTGCCACAGCAGAGCACTGCATGAAAAAAAACCTGCCCTGCCGTCCTGGATAATTATTTACTAGCCACAAAGTATTCTGTTTGCCAGCATTTCTGCACTACCACAAGCTATGTCAACCTTTTCAGAAATGCAGCCAGAGACAGCGTGGTCTTTTCTAACCATATGTGCCAAAAAAGGAACATATCATTTTAAAGAACTCTCTTGCCATCTAACGCAGGAACAACAAAAACAACTTGCTAGGATCTATTTCAGATTACGAAACTCCCCAAAGTACTCAAATATCAGGCCTACTTATTTAACAATAACCTCTGTGAGCTACAGCCTGTAAGTCAATCTGTGTCAAAGGCATTTGGATCTCTACAGAACCATCGTTAACCCTGCAATGAGAGAAAAAGTTATCACAGAAAGGTTGAGCTGCCTTTTTTTTGTCTCCACACGGTTCTAGGACAATCGTATGATTACATATAAACTATTCATGAAGCTACACTCGTGAAGTTTAACAGCACCACACAGACACAAAATTACACCAGGCCTCAGAATAAAGGTGTAATACTAATAAAGAAAAACCCCGGTGCACTGCATGCACAGCAAACAGCCTTGTGGCAGTGAAGAGCCTGATGACCAGATGGGTCCCCAGGTGTCCTATAAACGCTACTCACAAGGTTCTGGTGGGGGTGGAAGAGGCGGTGGTGGTTCTTCAGTGGCTGCAGCTGCAGCAGCATTTGCCTGTGCTGCTTCATTTGTCATCGATCTGGTGATTCTGCCCTTGCGACGACCTTGACTATTGGCAGTTTTTCGGCCCCTAGGAGTGGCCTGCTCCCTTTCCTCTGTTTCCTCTGGTGCAACTTCAGTTTTGTCCTTTTCTTTGGTATTCTCTCTGAGAATAGTTAAAATATAATTGAGTCACATTCAGACAGCCATTAGATATTCCTGAATATCAATGTAAAAAGAAAAAACACCAAACCCCCACAAAACCCCACAAACCCAAAAGACGCCCTTAGTGAAACAGACTTCATGCACTGCCCACGATTTAGAGTTGCTAGAGGATAACATAGATACATGTTATCAACTTCAAAGAAAACATGAAAACACCAAAAAAATCCAAACCAAAAAAGATATGAAAATTATTACATGTGCAAAAATACAATCCCAGGGCTTTTTCCACCTGTATTATCAGTTCAGCAAGACAGAGGAAATGGTATGTTCAAAAATTGTTTAAGGCACAAAAGCTAACCTAAACAGGAGCAGTTTTCAGTCCACAGCTGACCATCAGCCTAATGCAACCCAGAATGAACTCATTCATTTTCAGTACATATACTTACTTAGATTCCTCCTTCTCATCCTTTTCCTCCTCATCTTTCTTTTCCTCCTCTTTTTTCTCTGCTTTTTCTGCTTTTTCCTCTTCTACCTTTTCTTCTACCTTTTCCTCTTGAGAAGGACGAGCAATTTGTTGCTGAAATGAAATGGGATTTTCAGATTATAACAACTTGATCATACAAAGCTGCAGCAACTTGTACTCAGAGCAGCACACTTTCACAGCAATCCAGATGACTAGCATGTGCACGGCTATCTCATTTCAGAAAGCATGGAAATTTGACTTAAACTTTCCAGAAGATACAAACTGCTTCACCCAGGAATCAATGGAAGGCATTTCTCTTACTTAACGTGATCACACAGAATGACCAGCACGGGCCTTTACAGCTGCTTTTTAAAAAAAAAAAAAAAAAATCTAAAAAATGTAAGAAAAATCTGTGACTTTGTTTTTTCTATTCCTCATCCCACACAAAAAATAAATTATCCTTGGCATCCCCTGTCTGATTCCACTGTTAGAGGTGGCCTAATATTAGACAAGCCACATATCCTGTGATGTTTTAAGGAAGCATTAGAAAAATGACACTGCTCATACAGAGGAAAAAAAAAAAAGCATCAGAAAATACCCTTCAAATGCGACTACAGAAAATATTTCCTTAAGTTTTAGTGTTGTTATCCTCCCTAAATACATTTAGGAGCCTAAATACTGCTTTTTGCCATCCACAATGATGTATCTGCACAGAGCCAAAACATCTCACTTTCCAACGCTGCTGAATTTCTGGGTCCATAGCTCGCCTGCAAATTCCTTTCTCTCCAGGCTAAAATACCAAGCAGTAGTTGGCTGCCACTAAATAAATCACGTTACTCACTCCCCAAATTCTCAGACTCCTTACAGGAAGCGAACAGCAAATGAATGGATTCTCCCAATGGGCCTCCAAAGCCAGCAACTTACATCAGGCATCTAGATCATAATCCAAATTGCCCACTCACACTGAAAATGCACTAGTTTATTTACAATGCATCATTACAGTTTAAATTCTGCCTTAAATATCTTTTCATGAGAAACTATGGAATGTAAGCGAGGGTGGGGTGTCGGATATGGCCACACAGAGGGAACCACTCACAGAAGTTTACACTGAAGGGGTTTGAATGGCTTAAATAACCCCCCTCAGTCACCCACTTGGCAGAACTGCAACACCCAGATGCTCTCCACTCAAATTGGGTCTGTGCAGAACCGACCCGTTCCTTACTGAGGTTGGACTCAGCAAGTCAACTTCACAAAGCAAAATACATGTAATATTTATATAACTCTACCTTTTCAAACAAATAAACGAAAGTACGCTTGGCAATTCATGACCAGACAAGGACAGACATCTCCAAGATTGCTGTTCTAGGATTTCCCTAACTCATATTTTACAGTCCATTGAAAAACTGCCCAAACAGGCTTTTCTTTTTTACAGAGGGAACAACCTTCCTGTAAGCGTAGCAGCAGGTGTCACTGTTCCCGTAACAAAACTGAGGCTGGAAACAGTTAAAAAAAGGACTTGTTTTTGACATTTTAATAATGTGAACTGGAGCAGAAAACCCAAACACTATCATCCTTGCTGCAAATTATTAGCATTTACAGGGCTGGCATTACATGGTTATGCAAAAACTTCCTTCAAGCAAGATGTCAGAGAGATGTGCCAAGATAAATTATTTCCATTCTGCTAGATAAATCAGCCTCAAAAGCAAGCAGTAAAAACTGCATTTTCAGATGTAAAGAAATAAAATATTATTTTACACATAATCTATTTACAAAACAGCTGCTGAAAATCCTCTGTTCTTCTGCCTGGCTAACTTAACATCACACGGTGTAAATAACAGGATTCTCTATTTCACAGTGAATTTATTTAACAGGCATAATCAATAGGTCAAGTGCAGGTTAAACACAAACCTTAAAACAGTCGAAGCCTCGGTCAGCGACGTACCTGCACATTCATCTGCTGATTAAAACTTTTACTATCCAGGCAAGGGGACGGGCTTGAACTCAGGGTACGATTCAAAAGGACAAAAACCACACCAGCACCGACATCACACAGCTCTTTAGCAGAGGCTGCCTGACCCAGCAACGTGTTTATTCCAGGAAATTGTGTCATTCTACCACTTAAGCTGCCTACAGCAGAGTTGCCCATCTCATATACAACCTTCTAATCTCCCCGGGGTCACCCAAGGTAATCCCCACCGAGCTGGGCTCGATTGGCCGTCCCAGACATACAGCAAATTTCTGTCTAGTCAGATCACCGGACTGCACCACCTGCTCCGAAGGCACACGGCTCGATCCGCAGCCCTGCCTTACTGCTGAGCAGGCAGCTACACCGCAGAAACACAGCCCTTCCCCACTACCGCCCCGCTACCAAATGGCAGTGAAACACTCTCCTCCAAGAACCTCCTTTCAATGGGTTATTTAAGGAATTGGCTGTCATCGAGGTGAAAGCAAAATCTAGCCACGCTTCCTTCTAACACTATGTTAAAAACCTGCTCTTCATTTTAAACGTCACATTTGGTTTAAAACACCCTTGTCAAGTTGCCTCTACGAGCATTCTGCAACAGTTCAGACAGCATTTTATAAAAAAGTCCTTTCTAGGGCCATTTGAGGCCAAAAACTTATCGGAATTCAATACGTCGTACATCTCTTGACATGCTCTAATTTAGCATTCAGCTTCTCTAAAGTAAAAGCCCCCACACTGAAACTTGAGTCAAGTTGTACTCGCTCCATTCTCTGAAGGATTCCAACATCATTACCATGATTAATAGCTTCTCCACTGCAATATTCCATTTGCTTGCCTTCCCATTTACAAAAATATATGAACTATGAAGAGTTTAGACTGAAGCACCTGTTACTGGCATAAGCCCATCTTGGAGCACATCATAAATCTTCCATGATTTGTGTTTGCCAATCAGCAAGGAAGTTTCAGGTTGCTACTCAGAGACACGAAAAATACCAGCTTCAAACAAAGCTGGGATGTGGGAGGGAGAAGGGGGATGGATTGCATTCTGCAACTCTAAGATAAAAGTTCTGGCAAGCGGGGCAGTACAACACTCAAGTTCCTTTTTACTAGCTGTCAGAGATGTTGCTAATTAATCATTAATAAAATCAAGAAATACGAATATGATTTTTGGTACCACGTAATTCCTTACTACAGCGTTACTAAACACACTGACTACAACACTTCTGAATTTAAACTTCCAGAAATGGTAAAATTTTCCCTTTTAGAATGTTTAGAGTATTTCCCCGAGTTTGCAAATATACCTCAACATCCTTCAGGTCTACAAAGACTGACACGTACCTGCACCCCTAACACAGAGCACACATTAACTCTAGCAGTTGCCAAAGCTTAGTGAACTGCTGTAGTTCTTCACGTGGATCAATAACTAGGAATTAAGACCTACAACTCTGCTAAAATTCAAAGAGAACCTAATTTGAGTTGGACAAACCACTGCAGCAGCTTCAGTGCTTCAGCTCACACATTTAGTTACCCACAGAGAAATCAGTATTCCGAGGAGCAGTTACAAAGCCAGGCAGAGCACCTTGGGTCTCCTTTCATAGCGAGCTAACTCCACACATCTATGCCCTTGTGTACAGGGCTGTAATAAAAATCTCCCTAGTTTATACGCATTATCCAAGGAAAGCAAATAATTTACGGACTGAGAAATCCATCCAGATTTTGAATCCTACCAGTTCCAATATTCTAATGTTTAACAATGAAAGACATTGAAATACACAGCTGTGGTCTTCTGAATATCTCAAAAGTTACAGTTCCACTGCATTACAGCTTGAGCCAGTTTTGTCCCGTCACCTCTCCTCATCACTGCGTTTTGTCCCGTCACCTCTCCTCATCGCTGCAGAAGAACAGCGCACGGCAAAGATGCTGCTCAGCACGTGCACGCTTCCTATGATCACACCAACCTCATTTTATACTGGGATATGAAACCGAGCCATTTAAAACAGCAGCATTATCTGCGGTTAGTGCCCACCACGATTGTCTACATTTTGGACAAATCTCTTATTTCCATCTTCTTTGTAGCTGCCATACCTCCGCACTTTAATTGGAATCTTTCACCATCATGAGTCACACAATACACTTTTCCTATTAAAAAGCATTATTAGGCTTAGAAGGTGAAGCAGAAGTTCTGCAAATACAGGATATCTCCAGTATTTTCTCCCATCACAGCAGTTCGCAATTAGTCAAAGTAGAAGCTCTAACTAAATCCTGTGCATAATGCAAATGACCTTATCCTAACAATCCATAATTTATGTGGTACAAACAAGTCAGTCTTCTGTGACACGGTCTCTTCTCTCAGAACACCAGACTGTAATTTACAAGGTTTAAGTACAACAGCACCATGGAAGCACAACACGATGACTGTTTTAGTGAATACGACCAACTTAGCAACTGAAGCCATTTGCAGCTATTTTCTTGTATGTATAAAAAATACATTTGCTGGGACTCTCAGACAATTCACATTATCAGAAAAGAGGAATCAGGTATCCTGAAGTGTAGTATTTACTTAATTGGCTGTTTCGCATTTCAATACAGATTTATTAGTGCAGTCACATGACCTCAAAGTCTCAATAATTCTTGTTTTCAGCACTGCTGATGAGATGTGACTAAACCCAATAACCCACAACTCCTCAGAATTTAAGGTCTACGAATTTCTAAAACCCTGAGTTTGAGAGGCCCTTCCCCTCCTGCCCCATCTCAGTTCCAACAAAGCACTGGGTATTTCTTCAGCACATTCTATCTACGCTGGTTTCCAGCTGTTACATTTATTTTAAGGATACAAACTCAACACACCTGCAGGCTTCACTGTTACTTCCAACACTCTGCTCACGTACTGTATTTCATGTATGACCTTCTTTCCTAACCTCGTCATTGACGTATCTTTCCTTCTGTTTTCAGTACTTCCCAAATACCCGTAAGATGCAAGGGGAAATCAGAATGGGAAGAGCAGGTAACATGGTCAGTTAACACACAGCATTCCTCCCGATTTCTTATGGGGAAGAAAAAAGGCCCCAAGTTTCTTAGCTTTTGGGTTTTTTTGTTTGTTTTCCAATATCCATATTAACCCCGGTAGCCCAGCAAACATATTTATATAATATTTGTACACAATATGCTGTTCTTTCTCCCCCCAAAGACTCCAAAACCTTCCCAAAGAATACTTCTTGAATCAGCAGAATTTTTTCTTTGCATGCATTAAATTGGTCTCTTTCTTCTTGTTATTAAGTTCCAGTTTGACTTTGAGCCTGACCACCAAATAAAAGATCACTATTAATTTCTGCTTTTTGACAAACATCGACATTACAAAGCGATTAGCTATTTTCCACTGCTAAACCTAATTTCTGTTGGCTCCAACAAAGGATTTAATGATGGCTTTGACTTCAGTGTCGCTGGCAGGGTTCTCAAAAGTAATCGTCATATAAAAAAAGAACAAAAACAAAACACAAATGGGCAAAGGAAGAAGATATTCCATAGAATTAAAAAGAAAACACCCTTGAGATGGCATTCCTTACGTTTAATAAAGTCAAAAAATGAGTAAAGATAATTATTTTTCCTTTTTTCCTTCCCTTCATGTATATAATATACTTGCTATATCAGAGAGCAAGACAGCTGTAAATAAGAAACAATGAAATAACAATATTCAAGTGACAAATTTAAGATACCTGGTTTCTTCCTCTGCGTTTCCCATAATTCCTTCGCACGAGGGCTTTATAATTTTCATTTTTCTTGGTCAAATAATAATATAATACACAGTCAGGAACATTCTAAAGTGAAAAAGAAAAAGAAATTAGGTTTAACTGCTATTAAAAATATGGTCTTAGTATTTAATTTCTCCCTACTTAAACTATTCATCCCCTAGACTGAAATAAACCTCTTACTAGGTTTGTTTGCTCAGCAGGGAAGTGAATTCACACACAAACATAACAATACAACTATGCATAAAATTATAGTGTTAAATGCAAGTCTCATGTATTTATATCATCCCTCAGGTACTTCAGCCTGCATGATTTACTCTATAATAGAAAATTTGCAAGTTTGAAAGCTGCTATTTACCATAACAGCTGTGTGTATTCTAAGTTCTGTTGTAAGCCTTAACAAATCCTAGTTCTCCATTACTTCTGACATCACATCTGCAAAATCGGTTCTAAGGACTAAAATTAGCTGTAAAGGCTAATTCAGCTGGCAGAAGGATCCCACTGACTTGAAAGGTGGTGGCAAGACTTCTTAAGAGTTAGCACAGTGGCTCAGCAAAGCTAATTATGTCCTCATCTAAACAGTGAGAGTGCAAGACGCTTACCTGCTTCAGAAAGAAAATAAGATCAAAATTGAACCAAGTGCCATTTTCTTTTATTGTTGGCAACAGTGTCATTTCACTGGCTTGTGTTAGACATTTGCATGCACCAACTGTGTATACACTTGCATTGATCAAGTATAAAATCCTGCCAAAGCAGTAACTTTTTTTGGACTTACGCTTTTGTCCAGGAAGAGAAAATGATGCTGGGATAAATGACTTACATTTGGAAAGTTAGGGATCCCACCCTAGGCTCTACTTACATTAAAAAAGGTCTTACCTTTCGTTCCAGGTAGGAAGCAATTAGACCAAAGTTCTTGGGATGTTGGACAAACCTTTTATAAATCAGAAATTATTTAAGTTTAACAATATAATTCTCGATCAAATAAGCAAAGCAGTCTTCCAAACAATCTGTTCCATCAGCAATCCTTTGATTTACACAACCAAAATTAGTCTAAAAAGCCATTTTCAAATTGTGCAAATTTAGAACTAAGCACTTAAAATGAGTTATTAGTTGATATAGTGAGATAATATACTATTCTTCTCCTTTTAGTTTTAATCACAGAACTAAAGTATTTTAAAGAGAATTTCTTATCTAAGGACTAAATGCATCTGAGCCTACTCACTTAAAACTTAAATGGAGAAGTCTGAGACTTCTGCAATGTTTCATTCGTCCAACTAAGAACATTATCAAATATTACTGCACAAAAGCTTCAACATTCCCAATTAACTGATGTTTATTGTGGGTTAGGTATTTAACTGTCACTTGCGATGTAATGAAAATAAAAGATAAGAAAGCCCATTACTTTTCCTTAAAAATCTCTTTCTCATGGTCGGTCCAGACATTCATGAACTGTCTGTCTTTATAAACTTTCATGGGATCCTCCATCAGACCATTCATATTAATAAACTTCACTCGTCTTTGTTCTGCATCAAACATCATGGGAGGAATGACAGAGAGCTGACGCATTTGTTTTTCATTATTCTACAGGCAAAGAATAAAAGAAAAAGTAAAGAATACAAAAAAGTTGCTACTAATGTTTACAGTTCTTGAATTGCACAACTCTAAAATGTACACATTCACAGTTAGCCTGAAACTGTTGTCCACTTAACTCTTCCAGAAGTTGCCACTATCCCAATGAACATTTACACAGTCAGCTAAAGGAAAGTGTTGCAAATGATGAAAAACTAAAATGGTGCAGGGTTTTAGGAAGGAAGAGTTTTCACATGTTTGTAAAAAACCAGGTAGTAGTAAGCTGGCAATGAACACAGACACATGAGAAAAATCTAGGACAGATACAATTAGAAAGCATAACCCTTAGAAGAAAATGGTTTGTAAGACCTGTTTCAAGCCATACTTCACACAGACTCTCTCAAACCAGCCTGAAAAGGTTTCTCTTATCAAAAAACTGAACCCTCTCCGTGCCAGTAAAATGATATCCTCTGCTGCGCTTCTATACCAAAGTACAGACAACAGCCTCACCTCCTGCTCAGAGAGTCCATCAATGATTTCAGAAATCTCGTGCTCGCTTCTAGCAATAGTTGCTGAAAGTCCAGCCCCTCTTTGACCAACTCTAGAATTAAGGGAAAGCAGAAGTAGTAAGGATAAATCGGAAGATAGCTGTATTTTCAGATTTTGCACACAACAATGACAAACTTCAAAATTCTTTAAAATACTGTTACCAGTCCCCCAGATTAGTTAGTTAGGGCTGTTCTTCAGAAGTGTCAGAGCACGTTTGTGCACTGCAGTTTCAAACAACTGCCCAGTTTTACAGGTGAATTTGCAAGGCTCAGCAAGAAGGGCATGCTTGAGTCTGCATCAGAACCGGCCTGTTACCACCAATTCCACCGCAGGTAGGTGTTCCAGATACTCAGCAGAACCCGTTCATGTATGAGACACGTTCACCAGTGGCAGAGAAATCATCCAATTAGTATAACTGATAGACTCTGAAAGACAGCTTGTTTTATTTTTTAAAAGAAAAAAAAGCCTATTAAAACTGCCTTTCAGCAGTTGGTCAAGTTACTAGTACAGCACTGAGATGCGTTACAACAAAGGGACATTTTTAGCTTTTGAATTGATGGGGAGAGCTGTAATTTGGAAGGATTTCTCAGCTAATGATCTTTACACTTAGGAACATCTTAATAATATATTAGAGCATGTGGGTCAAAAAGCACCTGAGAGATAAAGATCACTGATAATTAGAGAGACAAAACATCTTAATTTGCCTAAAGATTTTACTGAACTCATCAATTTGCACAAAATCTGACAAAAACCTTAGTATTCACACGGCAGCAGTTTTACAAGCACAGCTATAGATAAAGAAGCCATTACATTACAGAACATAAATATACTGAACAAAGACAGCCCCTTCCCAAGTAGCTGCAGTTACAAAACGTGCTTAAAGTAAAAGCTGCTTAGAAAGAGTTCTGTTTCCAGTCTAGAAATTCACTTTCTTTTCCTCTTTTCTTGATTCCACAAAGCCAGACCTTGCAGACTTCATGATCTATTGCAAACTACCTGCTTTTCCTATCTTTTATCAAGTAAGGGCATTTAGACAGATGGTTAGAAGAGATAGTGAGATGAAATCTTTATGCAGCTTGAATACTCAACAGGGCCTTAAAATGGTTTCAGAAGTTCGATCAACAGATTTGAACACAACTGAACCAAACATGACCTAATTCTAATTTAAAGCCCTACCTATGGTACCGTAGATAAAGAGAACTCTCAAATGAATTGCACTCCATCCCTTTTAAGACTCTTTGTACAGCTTCCATTTAACAAATGTCAGAATGATTAAAATAAAATGATAGGGACTTAATTGTCATACCTTGCATACTTCAAAAAGCAAAAGTGTCTGGAATAAAGTTACATGGCAAGTACAACAAAAGATCACTCAAATTGTTAAAGAATTCCAATTATTTTTGAGTGTGTAGGCTAATGAGTATAAGGATCATGAAACAAAGGAGTAACACAGACACAGTGTCAGAAAAACACTGAGTATAAATTAGGGTGTAGGCCCAAAATGAACAGGCTCACATGAAGCTGACGCTCCAATTATTGTAAGACCAACTCCACAAACGTCTTTGTGCAACTGAGCAGCTTAACTCCTACAGCATCCCCAGGCACCTCAACCTAACTAGCTTCTGCTAATTAGTCCTTTTTCTGTACTTCTTTTGGAAAATACGGGGTTTGATGGAATAGCTGTAAGAGCGATAGGAAAGGAACAATTTGGATGTCACTAAGGCAGCCCAAGAGGACACCAAACGGATGAGGCTAGCACCGCTGCCAAAGCTGAGAGGGAGGGACAGGAAAGGGCGAGACGTAAGACAGTGGTTATGTAAGAAGGACAGTCATGAAGACCCTTAGAATGTAGAGTGAAATTGGAGCTCAAAGCCATGAAAAACAGTGAACAAATGAAAGAACATTTGATTTTATACCGTTATGATACACTAATATTCTTAAAGACTGAAGTGATGATAAACGTAACACTTAACCGTTACGCTGAGCGAATTTACTTACAAATAATTTGTAAACATAAGTGCTAGGAGATATTTTATAGGAATATTTCAAATCCATGGCAGTACCTTTGGAATCGTTCTTGCTGTTCTCTTTGCTTCCGGATTTCTGGAAATTGTTTTTCATAGTACTCCCTTGTTTTGCTCTCCTTGGCTTTCCTGCGTGGATTATTTTCTATCCTGTCAACTTTTTTCTCCCATGCCTCCATCAGCTGATCATAACGCTGACAGATTTTCTGTTCCTGTTAAATTCCAAAAGTAAATCCTGAACTAAGCACCAATACACTAAGTGATCAGTACACGTAACATGGATAGGCTCCAGGAACAAATGGATAGATATTCCCTGCCCTACTGGCTTTCCGTTTTGAAGACGACATACCCAGTTTTCAGCAGAAAGAAGGTGAGGAAGTGCATATAAACATGTAGATTTTGAATATTACACCCTGTATCTTTTCTTTATGTATCACAATGGTATTCGGTAACTTATTCCTGCCTTCCAGAATTCTAACATCTCCTGGTACCAGGCTTTTAATTATTGAAGTCTGTTTAATTTCTAAATTTTTATTTATTTCTAAATTTTTAATTAACAGAATGGGGCTGGAATAATTGTAGTAAGTCCTCAATCTCAGCAATATGTATATTGCTATATAAAAATATGTATATTGCTATATAAAAAAAGCTAGGACCACAAGAAGAAAAATACTTAAATTACATTTTCAGAGTGTATTCTTCCAATTACTGCATAACCTTCTGCTCTAGTTAATAATAAAAATGATTTTTCAGGCACCACCCAAAAAAGCCTTTTAACTTGGTATGTCACTTGCCACAACAGTATGCACAGGAAAGCATTAAGGCAATTAATACTGGTACCCAACATCCAAAGTTTGAATTCGAATGCTGTCAGACTTCTAAAACTGGAGATCTGCACCATTTTCTTTCAAGTACTATAGCTCCTATACAAGAAAAGGAAAGGGGAAAAAAAAAGCTTTTTCTGTATTGTACTTTAGAGAGGTTTCAGGCAAATAATCAACAAACCACAGTTATAAACCTGCAGTTTATTTACCAATAAATCACCAGAATTTTGGCTTGAGATCTTATTTTCCTAAATCAATGTGATTTTCAAGACACATTTGGGAATGCAAGTTAAGGACCCAGACAGAAAACCAACCATGTGCTCTTTTTACAAAAACATGGTAGTATTACCCGTTGTTTTCTTGCATGATTTCTTCTTTTAAAGAAGAGTATTAGCTTTTTCCTCATCACCTGGTTTCTGGAAAACAAAATTGGAAAAAAATGTGAATTGTGTAAGAATCAAGCACTTCAGAACTACTCAAAGCCCATGTGGATTCTAGATGCCAGATCATTATCATGAAAAATATTTTCAGGGATAGAAAAACAGAAGGAAAAATTCTGATGAAACAATCATCTAACTAATAGTGTTAGTATTAGATCAGAGAGAAGATTCTTGAAGCAGCTGGGACAAGCAATTAAGAAACAAGAGCTTCCAACTTCAAGCCAGGTGTTTTTCTTTGCCACAAGACAGATAATATGCTAAAAGGAGTAAATTTGGCTTAGGATGGTACGTTTTTTTTGGAGGGAAATATAATTTTTGTAATTCAGTTCTAGAGTTAAGAGCTTTACAATATACACTCAATAAAAACAGAAAACAAAAAGTACTTTGGAAATGCTACACATCTACATTTAAAGGAGTGGAGCAAGAAGTACTTTTAAAGACAATTTTTAAACAACAGCCATCTGTAGGATTTTTTCTGTACTTACAAAATATTACAAAATGGTAGTAAAAGTCACAGCACTTAGCAATATGCACGTAACTCACTACACATTCCTTTACATCAAACTGATGATTTAGTCCTTCTTTTGTAAAAACTGGTAGAACAGAAATTGGTTATGAATAAACAAATCTTATGAAGAAGAGTAATGATCGTCAATAAACTTAAACTAGGAAAAATCATGCCACAGCAGTAACATTTGTCTCAAAACCATCAGTATTTGAGTTTCAAAGTTAAGACCAACAGTTACTGTCTCCCTCTGCATTCAGTACATGTAACATGTCTTGGAGCACTGTTCTACAACATGAAAATGGGAGTTACATGGACTCAAGCTTTTAATTATGGTTAAAGTACACACAGCCTGTTCAGAAATCACAGCAATGAAAAATCTGAGCAGATGTTTCAGTCCAGATCCCGTAAATGGCACAATGACAAGATATTAAAGCACTTACGTTTTGATGTTCTCATGGTAGACCTTTGTGTCTGATGGTTGGTTATAAAGTGGCTACAATTTTGGATTAGAAAGGTACACTTAGTACTTTTCAGTGCATGTAATTCTAAAAGTCTATGCAACACATTTAACAATATTTTAGTGCATTCAATCTGAGATGCAGAAATCTGAAGGGACTAGAAGACATTCAACACAACACAGAGATTTCATTACTTAAGATTAGATCATTATCACTACTTCAGTATACAACAGCATTTGGGGTTTTCTCATATTTCAAACTGTTGTCTCAAATAGATTCTAATCCATTTTTAAAGTTACACTTATGCAGCCTATCAGTTCACTCAAGGCCCCATTCACCAGTGCATTTAAACACACACTACTTCTTTTACGTATAAACACAGAACTACACCTGTTTACCACAACAGAATTACAGACGTGCAAGCAATACTGGCAACACAGAAAACAGAACACAAGAAAAACACCAACCAAACAAAAACCAAACAAAACCACAACTTACCAGTTCGACTTTCGGACCAAGACCTTCAAAAATCTTGTGAGCTTCTTCTGCTTTTTTCTGCAAGAAAGATTTCTTTCTATAGTCCAAGTAAATCACCTGAAGTTAGTGTCAGAAGTGTATCTGAACTCTTTCACTTATGCTAGCTGCTAAATCCCTGTCTGACCATGCTACATCCTTCTTAACCTACTTCTGCAGTGTTGCCTCAGCAAATCAAGAAACCTGTACCTGAATTGGGTGGTTACTACTCTGAACTCCATGTCTGTAAGCTGGGAGACCATGGAAGCAGAAACTGACCTCTGCAGTTCAAAAAGAGCATGCTTTTAATAAATAATACAGCAAGCAATTATTAAGAGGAGGAAAGGTGTTCAGTAAAACCAAGTATAGCTAGGTTTGAAAAATGGAATTAAGAGACTAAAATTCTCCAACCGCAAAGCCTGGGAGTGTGAACTGACATGTAGATACACACACAGAATTATGTCGAAGGTCCTCCTTCCCTCACAACCAAGTGAAGACCTCAAAATAATTCTGCCCCTAAAGGAGGCAGCACTGGATAAGACAGCTGGCTTTCACAAATTCATTCAGGCCTGTAGGATCTTTGTCAGCAGACAAGGCTATCTGAGATGACCCAACATACTAGTTCAAATTTGCTTCTTTCCCCTCTGATAGTTGTATGTGTTAACCCTAAGACACCTGCTAAGAAAAACATAGGAGAAACTAATCCATAAAGCAGTTATTATCAGAAAGTGTGCTGCTAAGTTCTAACCTCTTCCCACATAATTTTTATCTTGAGAAATCCTTTGGTGCTCACAGCTGTACAAAATAATTATATCTCAAGGAAATATTGTAGCACTACCCCGGAAGAATGTTTTTTCTGGTATCAAAACATTTAGAAGTGAGCTCTAACCCTATTACTTTAACCAAATTTTAGCCATTAGTAGTTGAATATTAGAAGTAATTATCATAAACTGCATGGTTTGAAGATGAAAGCTGCCAAGGGGACAGTCCTCTTGTACAACTGCAGAAGATACCGAACAAGTGCTATGCACACAGTGGCTTAATACATCTTTAATAACCCTTTAAATAAGATGAGTACTGACACATGCTATTTGTATCAAGCCCCATCAATACTGATATTCTACAGTCCATGTAATTCCTGATATGAGAACTCAAACCAAGTGCTAAATAGATTCACAAATGCATCAAGCTGGGTAATTCCCCTTGTATACAGAACACTATATGAAAAGCTACACGGACAGAAACAGCTAATAGAGAACTATACACCAACTCATGTTATTCCATCTCAGGCAACATAAAAACGTGTTTTCCCATCTACTTGCACATAAACAACATGGGGAATGCTATAGCAACTTCAAAATTCTGTTGTAAAGCCCAGCTGTACCCACAGTTAGCAGAGAAAGCGTTGCAGAGCAGCTCACTGAGATGCCTTCAAATTCACGTAGTTTTGCCTACTACCCAACATGGAACTGAGTTTGAGAAGTTTTGTAAAGTGATCGTATGATATTAATACCTTTTAACTACATTACAGTGTGAAAGAGATTTAAAACAGTATAACTGGTTTATAACCAGCAGCAAACATTGTTGTACACTGTTTACATCAGTTTTTATAACACAATTTTGTCCTAATGTCCACAGACAATTAGACTAGGGGAGGGGGAGAACAGGCTGCATGGAACAACTGGGACACACTTCTACTGTGTAAAATCTAGGATTGTGATGCAGTTTTCTACCATCTTAAATTTCCAGAAATAGTCTATTGTAACAGAAGTTAGCTGTTTCTTTAAACTAGAAAATAAAACTGGGAAATTAAACAAACCACTCTCACAAAAGATTGTAATGTTTTCGAAACCAGCAGATATCCAACTCCCTAATCTCAACTACCAGGAGGAAAAGGACAGGAAGTACTTTGCTACTGTAGGTGATGTTACTGAGCTCCTGTACTCTTACCACCGCTTATGCAACACAAACTCACAATTCACCTATATACTACTTCTTCATACGTGCTCATTTATCCAAATCTTAAGTGCCATAAATCAGTTTAAAAGGAGGGTGTAGAAACTTAAAACATACACAGCTTTTCCAACATTGTTTAAAATGTTGGGTCTTCAGCCACGCTTGTCAGTATTTATGCGAGAAAAAGAGAATTCAAGGTAAATTTCTGAAGCATTTTTTTATATCTATCTATCTATACACACACAAACATTTCTATCTATCGACATATGTGCGTGTGTATAGACAGATGTACAGGGATACAGCTCAAAACAGAGGTCTAGGGATGAGACCCATAGATGTGTTTCCCTAGACTGCTTCTAAGATAGAAGGAGGATCTTGTAATCAAGAATAGAACTGTCACGCAAGTGTCTTTCATTTAAAGAAATAAATGAATGTTAAAAGAGGGACAGGCAAATCAGTAAAACAGGAGATACAAAAATAGCCCCACGGAAGTGAATTAAGACATAATGAATTTTAGCACCATGGGTCAGACTTACAGCGACACTCAGTCAACAGAAAAGCACACTTACCCGATTTTCATCGTAAATAATTTGGACAATACTGCGGTGTTTCTGTTCCACTGGAGGAGGGGAGACAGGCCTCTCTGGCTCTGGAGGCTTAGCAGCTTCTTCTTCAAGTTGTTGCTAAGAGACGAAAGAAAGAAAATCAGCCATCCGCACCATGTTACCCCTACGAGTAATTAGTCAGCAGAGATAAAATATGCATCTGATCAAGAGTTAGCACGGGCTGCTATTTCCCCTCCTAACTGACAAGGAATGAATGAAATGGTTTTAATGCCAATGGGGACAAGGTTATTATTTGTACTATTGGTAAACCAAACTAACTGTTTACAAGACTCACCTGCATTGACTCAGACTAGTTTCAGCCTGACAGTTAAAGCTACTGTCACATCGTAATTTATCACTATTTAACTTTAAACAAAAATGTTAACTTTGGAGAACAGTTATACCAAACCTGCCTTCTCACAGAGGAAGTAAAATCCATGGAGATGTCTTTTTACATTGTAGATATGCAAGGGTCATTATTACTACTGCCTTATTTTTTTAAAAAGGTATAAAAGTCCTTCTAACAATCCACAGAGAACATAATTCTAAACATACTTCACAGCAGAAATACACTACTTCACATACACTCAAGTTCCAAGATTGTTACAATGCCAAACCAGTAAAAAAGCCTGTAATATTTTCCTAGTTACTACACTGCTGTCATTTGCTTTCACATCAAATTAATCTGATTCAGTAACATCTCCATTTTCCAACTGTAAATATCCTTCACCCATGCCCGCCGCAAACATGCAACAAAGACTCTGACACTAGGGATCCATCCTGTCTTAGAGCACTGCCTGGGAAGTGCTATATTGCTGCGTAAGAATTCAAAATCTAAAATTTTTGCAGAATGCTGTAATAAACAGGCTCAATTGTTGCAGGCAACAGCAACTTCATAATTTAAGTCAAATCATAGTACAGACATGCACAAATGAACCTTCATAGATGACACGCACAGTACTTGCTGATTTTGTGGAAAAGTGAACAAACAAGATGATAAGCATCATTAACACACAGCCAGGTACTTAGCGACATCCTATGTTGTTCTTCTGCTGAAGGACACTTTATAGGTCATTAAAATTCAGACATGACTAAATGCTTCCAGACCATAAATACATACTGCTCCAGAGACCTGTCCATTTGTTACCCTGGACCTACAAGTTAACCAACCCTACAGCATAACTCTCATTCCCTACAGAGTTCCCACTAAAAAAATTAAAGCTGGCATTACTTCTATCTAGATCTAGGGAAGTCATAAAAGGAAAAGGAGACAAGGGCTTTTTTCTTGCCAACGAATAACAGATGCCTAGATTGAAGGGTGGGTTTAGTTGGCCACAACAGCTATTGGGAAGGCAACAACGACCACCAGCAAGCATTTCCTTTGCTTCCAACGGCTGAAGTGCAGTTCTTGGATGCAGAGAATAGCCAGGACAGTACTAAAAAAAGTGGCATTTCCTCCTCTATTTCTCTGCTGTCTCTGTTTACTCACATCCCTCCTGCTATACTTTCCCCCCACAGCTGACCTTGGCTCCAGATGTTAGTATCTCTTGCCCTTGTGAAAGCAGATGATCCAGGGACTTTTTTACAGGCTCTGGTTTTGGAGATGCATGCAAAGGAATCTCCCCTTGCACAGACTGCAAAAGAAAGACGATAGCCTCTCCTCACCCAGCAGTCAGTTTTAAAGCTGAAACTACAGTCAGAGTGCACTTGTTTCACTAGTCGTCTAACAGAAGTTCAAAATACAAAGCCATCTACTGTTGGTGTTCCTATATGGCCTTCTCCTGTTTTCAAAAGTGTTTAAAATGACATGATGTCCAATCTATTTAAACATTCGAGCAAGATCGTATGCATAACCTTCTCTTTTTATCTTGTTCATTTGGTTCATGTAACCAAAAAATTTGCCACCACTAGCAGCATCTCAAGTTTCTCCACACCTTTTTCAGTGGTAGATAACAACAGTAGTGTCTGTTATGCTTACTTGCTTCTTCTTCAGTTTGAGGATTTGCTGTTCAACTTTCGCAATCTCGCGATCTACACGGTCCATGCTCTGTATCAATTCTTCCTTTGACAGCTTTGAAGGTGAAGCATTTTGGTCCTCCCCACAAGGCTGACCAGAAATTGGAGAAGATGGTCCCTCATGCTTGCCTCCAAAGGCCGGTTCCTTTCATGGGGACAGGAGGTAAGGGGAAAGATTGAGAGAAATCAGTCACACTGATAACATGCAAATGAGTATTCAGTAACCAAGCTAGCATGCATGAATAAAAAATGTCCAGTTATTTGTATCTCTGAGGAGCTACCTAAGTTAAAGTTTAATATTTCAGTTTATTAATGCTCTAAATATTTTGCAATTAACTGACAGCCCATTTATGACACTGTAATTTCAAAGTCCACCTTTAAAAATAACAGCACACTTCAATATTTATCTTGAAACCAAAATAAGATCAAAACATTTCCTTTTAAAAATTGTATCTTCATAAACAGCATCTTCTATGTTTAAAGGAAGGGTTAATTGAGAGCCTATCCTCAATACAGCACATACAGGGATGAGGATATTCCTGATGATAATCACAACCAGCCTGGTAAAGTACCTCTGGAGTTAGTTGGGGTTATAAATGTTAAGTTCTTTTGGACTTAACACGACTAAGAGAAGCGATGACTTGAGAGAGGACAGGTCACTATTCATTTCGTTTGATGGTTTTTGTCCGTTTCCATACAACATATTTCAACATCAGCACTGCTGTCCCTTGTCTTTATGTCCTCAGACCACTGTGCTCCATGACTACCTAGCTGGCAAATGCCAGCTCAGTACTACATCCCTCATTCAAGCCAATCCGACTGAAAGATGACGTGTCTGAATGCCACTAGGCTGTATTTCTAAACTGGGACAGTAGATTTCTGTATGTAGAGCCTAGATAAAAACTCAGTTACAGGCAAGCATGCTAACATTGCATGCCTTAGTTCAGTCTCTCCATCCCCCTTTGATCTTATCTTTGCAATGCATCAGAGCAAGTTACTAAGAAATCACATGCTATGATAATTTACTTCACAGACAGTTTATTCACATGATAAGAAGAATGGTATAGAGACGGCAAGACAAGTGATCAACTTCTAAAAAATGTGGAGCCTATTAGCTTTTGAATCTGTAGGGTGAAATTTTTTCTGTAAATGATCCAAGTTTAGAAAACCGAGTGCTCACCTGCAGCAGTCACACCCATTACACACCACTTCTTGGTGTGTGAGTCTGTGTGCTTGTGTGCGTGCATGTGAGAAGGTATTAAATATTCATTCCAGAGACCTTTGTCTGCTCTATACAAATTGCTCTATTCAATATTCACTATCTACAATAGAAAATATCCACACACCGAACCCTACATTTACCCAAAATGAGACGGTGACAAGTATAATTAGTGGTATGTAAATAAGGAGACTCATTTCAAATGCTTGAAAGGGAGAGAGGGCGGAGGGGAGTACATGAACCATTCAGTACAAATATTCATTGCAGAAAGAAATGGACTTGCATGCACTTGCCAGCAGCTTTCAATTGAAAAGCAGCAATATTTCATGCACTACACTATAATCATTTTGCAACTGAGGTTTTAATGACTCAGGAATGTAGTGGCAACTCAGAACTCCAGTCTCTTCACTGTGCTTGAGGCAGATTTATCTTCTTGTTCTTTTTACACTGACTCATGACCGCAGTTTGCTAGAATGTGTAAAATTAGATTTCTGGGATTAAAAAATGAACCTAAATAAATAAGAAAAATTACCTAACAGAAAAAAGCCATTCATTAACTCAGCGCAACACTGGAAGTTACACCTTCAGCATCGTAACTGAAAAAGTCTTTACCTTCTTAACATCCGCAGATCTCAACCCTTCCTGCAGAGGATGTACTAAAGGCAAGACAGTAGCTGCACTGACCCGCTGAAAATGGGCATCAGAGACTTGTTCAAGACGTGGTCGCTTCGATTCCAGTGAATCATGATCTGCCTGAGATGGACCTGGATGAAATTGCTGTTCATATCCAGTTCTCCTTTCCTGAGGCCTAATATACAGAAGAGACAAACTATTAAAATATACATTTTCCATGTAACAAAATTATTTGGTGTTCCTCAACCCTTTTCAAATGTCCAGGAGATACAATTTAGTGAAACTTCTTCTAAACAGTAAGGCAGACAAATGATTTTAAGTATGACCTTCAAAAACAGTTAAAGTCCACTGAAAAAAAGAAAGTTTACTTGAACCTTAAAAGACACTGTTTAAATGTGTGCCTATCACTACAAACCCTTAAAGAAACTTACCACCGCTACACTGATATTGTGCAAATCAAAGCTCTGATTCAAATTATAAACAAAAGAAATCCATGAGACAAATACAGTACTACATTCCACTGAACACAGATGGCCACAGCAGTTCCATTATTTCATTTTTGCTGTCAAATAGCTTTTAAATATACAATGAGACGTGAATCTATTTGGAACTTAAGCTCTACTAAAATGCTACTATATGACAGAGACAGTCATTGATTCAATCCATGAATCATTTTTAAAAGTCCTCCTTATCAGAAAAATGCAAAAGAACAGTATCACTAGCTTCTTTACAGTGCCTTGCGCAGGATGTCCACAGAAGAACCTCATCTGCCTCAACATCTTCCTGTGAAGTGCCACTGAAGAGATGACAGTAGTTTCCTGTATTTTGCCAGAACTATTGAATAAGCTTTTACAAATTTGTAATGTGGGGGTGGGATTTACTTCTGCTGTAAACTGAAGTTTTAAGAACACTAATAGTTACTATGATTCTCGGCAACATTTTGGTGACACAAAATGAAGGCAAGATGCAAGCCCCAGATTTCACTATCATCAAGTTATTTCTGGGAATATTCTAATGAGATTTTAAGCTTGAGCAGTATTTACATAACATTCATCACTGGTATTTGTTCAGACCCAGATACCTCAGTTAGAGCCAAAATAAACTGCCAGCAGTAATCCACCATAAAAGTTGCTCCTAGCAGATACACTTACTAAGTGTTATACTTACTAACACTCAAATGCAGGAGACTGATGCTGTTACAACAGGGATACAATTAACAAAGTCAACTACTTAGGCAAAAAATGTGAAAACCTTTCTATTCAAAAGTTTAAAAACTCTCTTTACAGAAAGCACAGACTCAGGAGATTCCTGTTCACATACTTCAAAACCAGCATCCTCACCTGTCAGAGCCTGGGTGAAATTCAGAAAGCAAGGAAGGCCTGCGCCGCAGTTGCTGCTGCTGTTGCTGCTGCTGCTGCTGCAAGAGCTGGGTTGCCTGACTGACTTCCAGGTGAGACGATCGATAATCGGGTACTGCAAATTCCTAAAGGAAACACACTTCTGATGTTAACAAGAACAAAGGTGCAGAAGACAGGATCAAAAGCGTTTGGTGTCATGGAATGATCCTTTCTGAAGTAATTAAATGCAGACCAAGACCAGATCACCAAAGTCTTATTCCAGTTCAAAAAATAAAGTCTGTAAATAGTACTTCTAAGTTTTAACTGAATTTTAAAGAGACTAAATACTTATGCTAAGAATTCCACCTAGCTTATTAACAGCTTTTAACAAAACACAAATAACTCTGCAACAGCAGAATATCCTTTGAAAAAAAAAAAATCCTTTAAAATCCATTTTGCACATCCAACTACAAAGCAGTAAACTGAGAAGGTATTTCAGCAACCCTGAGGCAATTCCTTTTTGAGTTACCAACTCAAGACATTTTAAAACAGACACTGCTAATGAGGACTAAGAGCGAGACAAGATGCATCTTCTGACTGATATAATTTATATTCAAACTGAGGCACAAGACAATTTGTTTGTATATATGGCTCTTTGACCACTTGCTTTTAAAAGTTATATGCAGCTGGCAACCAAAGAGAAGCTACACAAGACACACAACAGGTCATTACCTATTACATTATGTAAAAATAAATACGGAGCAAGTCAGAAAGCTCCAATTCTTGAATTTCCTTTTGCAAACATGGAAGTAGAACAAAACATCTGAAGTATCTGCAGCAGGAGGAGAATTTCATTAAAATGAGAGAAGCCTGAGCTGGTCTAAAGCCAACAGCAAGTCCTCCACAGCCTACCAATCCATACAGAGCACAAGATGGCAGAATAACTGCTCAGCAGAAATGACCAAGCAGGAGATTCTTAGAAATTCACTACCTCAATCCTGGCTAGCAGAACACAGCTAGCAGGGAGCACTAGTACAGCTGCTTCAGAAAAAAATTCAGTGTTACACAAGTTTTTACATTTCAGATTCATGTTCACCACCTTGTACACAAATTTTGTCAAGAACTGCATTTAGCTTATAGATAATCTAGCCCTATACTCCTTACATAGGAGAAGGAAAGATGATATGGGTTCACTTCTTATGCTCCTGGGCATAGTAGGAGTTAATTCTCCATAAAAATTCAGTTCCCACAAATGCCCAGGAGCCCAGTCTCTCAAACAATAAGACCCAGAACACTGCATTCATATTAAATGTATTCTAACTGTAGACAGATTATTTGCATATTCTTGGAAAATTATTGCTATCAATGCATACGGACTCAGACACACTTAGTTGGCCAAATTTAATCCGATGACTAAACATTAATAAAATAAAGCAAAACTACAACAGAAGTTCATGAACACCATCCCTAGTGAATTTATTCAAACAATGAGAAACCAATGATAAAACCAGGAAGTTTATATAAATTCCCTGTCATAAAGTCACAGAATTATAAACCCAGTTTTCTGTAAAAAAAAAAAAAAAAGGCTAAAAGCAGATACATATATAATCTTCAAGAAGCAAAACGCAGTGTTTTCAGAAAAGGAAAAAAAAAAAGAAAAAAGAGGGGAGGGGAAAACAAACCAAACCAATCCACTCCACAACTATTTACCTAAGCAACACTGGCAGCAGCTCTTCTCAGCTGGCAAAACACTTCCTTCGCCACTTTGAGCATTTCTTTGTATTTGTTTTTTCAACTTTTAAAAAAAGTAGAGGAAGTAAGAATCAAAAAGAGTCAACCTACTGAGGATTCCCAACGTACAGTCTTTGCACAGGTCAATTTCTGAAGTGTTTTGCCAGTTTAGGCAGACTTACAAGTCTTAAATAACAGGAAATATTGACAAGCTGCCAAGTTGTAGGGTTTTATTTAGGATACCTTCAGAGTTTTATACAGCATTCCTTAATACTAGTGTATGGAAAAAGAAAGATTGGATGGGGGGAGAAAAACAAAACAATCAAACATGCAAAAACTTTAAAAAGCCAAAATTTCATTCAGTGGTAGTCAGGGATTTTAATAATTTCAGCTACAGCACTGCAGGAAGGCATAATTCAACAGGCAATGGTATCCTCTCAAGGTAACACTTCAGAAGGAACCAAGGAGCAGTATGTGGCTATAGATTGGACTTCCCAGAAGTTACCCCACAGTCAGACCCTCATTCGAAGGCACAATATACTTGACTAAGCAGACTCATTAGTCTTGATCGAGAGCCAAACTCCAAAGGCACAAACAACACTGTTATACAGACTTTCCTAGTCAGTTTTAACTGGGCATATTGGCCTGCAACTCCACTTCTTTCAAATGCGAACGACTTGTATTACATTGGTTTAAAACAAAACAAAACAACCCCATTTGGCACAGCAAACACCCGAGTTATCCTCTTGCTAAATTTGTACCATATCTCCTTACCTGCTGGTGTCGGGTGCTAGGGAAGGTGTACTGGACAGAGTGAGTAGGGTAACGACTCTGTTCTGTGCTGAATGCTCCTTGGTTAGGAGGGTAGCCTGAACTTGACATTATCAGAGAAGAAGTCTTCACAAAGCTGTGAGATCAAGACCAGCAAGCAATCATGTTTCTAGGAAACCGCCTAAAGGAAAAAAGATCACTGATAAGCACTGAAGTACCAGATGTACTCACAATACATTACAGCCATAGTCACCTAAGCAAAACAACCATTACCAGTAAAAGCTTTTTCCTGATGTATTTATTTAATAGGTTACTCTAGTCTGAAACATGTTAACAGGTCTTAAATGGGCTCAAAATGAGACATGTCAGCATTGTCTACACAAAGATTTGAGGATTATATTGTCAGAATACATCATTTTAGCAGTTACCAGTTGGATGAGGAGGATTTTAAAAGAAGACTAGGTCACTTTAAATAGATGTTAAAGAGGTTATTATAGTCTATTGATGGACTTTATTTACAGTAAATTTCTTTAGCACAGCGTGAAGTTCACCTCTGTTTCTTCTACAGAGTTTTTGGATTCTATGAACTGTTTCTTACTCTTAGATTCAGGTAGTCTTAGGGATGCTTTACTCAATGCCACCTACAGTTCATTAAACCACAGTGTATTAGTCAGGCCCTAAAATACTATTACCATCTAACAGCAGTTTTATAGAAGTAATTAGTAAAGAAGTCAGTCACAAAGGAAAGAAACCACTATTCCAATTGGCATCATAGTTTGTCTCATATGGGATGCCAGAAGCTGAACAGACTATGAAGCCTTAAAACAATCCTGCTTAGTTGACATTTGACGACTACTTTGCCTCTGTTGTATTCTCCAGCTACAGATTAAGAGTGAACACTGCAATGCATACTGATCTGGGGAAGACTTTAAATATGGACAAAATCCAGCCAAGTTCACTAACATCCAGTCCAAGCATCTGTGAAGCTATATATAGTTTCAGCTGCTGAAGATCAGAAGAGATTGATTAAACACTGGGCCCATCAGTGCTTTGAGCAAGTAAGTTATGGCTCTAACCAAAAGAGCATGACATACATCTTTTTTAAACACAAGATAGCTCTTTCCGATAGATGTAATCCTTGGAGCCTATGTATTAAACACAGAATTCTATCAGACCGGTAGCAAATTCTCAGCCTCTGGTCCAGAGCCTAGCAGACATATCAGACCTTCAAACAAAGCAACTGTTGATCCCTGCCTAGATGGCTTCATGTCAAAGTGCATTAATCTGCAGCCTTTCACAAACATCACATGTAAAGTTATACTTCTGAACTGCATTTTCCACTAACAGTCAATAGACACAATCAGCTCAGGAAAGGGTCAGGCCCAACAAGCTATACAAACAGATCTTAAAGTTTATCTGACATATTGTATCATTCCAGTTCTGGTTGAGTTCCCCAACACCCCCACCTTCCAGTTCTTCACCAAACAAAGCAAGCTTTACACGTTTACTATCAGAATAATGAGATAAATTTAAATTTACTTATTAAACCTGATTCTCAGATACGAAAAATTAAAAGAAAAGCTACACTACAGATCACTAGTTGTGTGCTTTACGGTACTTCTATATCTATTATAGTACCTATAACTCACATCCACGTGACAAGTTCTAACAAAGAATTCTTCACCATTAACATTTATTATACTTCATCATTCAGACTGCATTCATTAGAGTACATCTTTACCAACTATGTGATGGTCTAATAGGTCTGAGTCATACGCTTTCCATTTAATCAAGAAACTGTGTCAGAAAGCAAGCAGTTACAGCTAATATACACCCAGCTAGTTAGTTGCAAGCTATTGTACCTGAACACTCAAACGTATTCCCAAGTCCAAGCTACAGAAAAAAATTCTCTGCCTTTCCCCTCTCTACTTCCAAGCGAGGCCATGTAAAGCTATGGAATATAGCTGTCAGCTCAATCAAATGTTTACTAATGTGATAACTACTCCCATCGCAGGCTGGTGAACACTTACAACTAAATGAACAACTGGTTCCATGGTATAAGGACGCTCAAACAATTTAAGGTTACGACAGTACAAATCTTGGTTTGATGCACTGCTGATGCCTTAACTTGTGGCACCTCGCCAGCTTTGCATCTTCATATGCAGTCTCCGTGAATATGCGGAAGATGACTAACAGAACTCTACGCATGTGCTACACCTTAAAAACTTCAGTGAGGAATAAAGACAGTAATACTGGCTCTGATCAAAGCTCCTTTAGCCCAATATGCTGTGACTGACAATGGCCAGCAGCAGGCATTTAGGGAGCACATACCAGTACCTGCCCCACAAAGTCTCCAACCTCCAAGTGGCTCCCAAGACACTCCTTGCGGCTCAGGGATTCCTAGAGTCAGAGCCTTCCTGTTTAAACTTTTTTATCCTAGGCTACTTGGCTGTTGCTTGTCAACCACTTCCAAATGTTCTCTAGTTCTGTGATACCCATTCTGCGGCACAGGGAGCCAGAAATGCACACCAGATTCTGGGAAAGTATCCATAAATACTCATCCTGTTCTTATTCTCTTCCCTGACATGCTGAGCACAATCAGGCAGATCTGAAGTATCTGGGGATGCAGAAGTGACCGGGGAGCAACCACTTGAATATCCCACAGGAATACAGCCCTACTACTGCATGATTCAAGGTCCTTTCTAGTTTCTGTCAGGTTACATCTTCTCCTTCTTTTCTCAATATTCTGTCAAACACGCAAGTTGTTAATTAACCCAGGTGCTGAAAGTTCAATCCACACTCACTTTGTATCATGCTATAAAGGCTGTTTCTCCATTCACAAGAACTTCAGTGTACAGATTGTTACATTTGTGCTAGGACTGCTAGTCTTGAAATCTTCAGATACAAGAATCTTTCACAACCAACAGCCAGGAGAGGTCCTGACCATCTCTCCAGATTCTGTGCTAGATGTGGAAAGATGAAGGGAAGGAGTGGAGCACAGCACACAAACATGAACATCCTTCATCCATCCAACAATGCTGACTCAAACCCCATATCTCATAACCTACAAGTTTAACATAATACATATGAAACCATTCAGACTCATGGCCTTCCTACTGAGAATTGCAAGTATGAGCATGCATGCAGCACCCTAATAGTAATATTAAAAAAAAAAAAGTGAAATAAAAGGAAAGCTGCCAACAGAGGAAGGCAACAGAAACAGCATCACATGTTATAATCGTGGTCAATTAAGAGAGGTGGGAAGTGAAGAAAAAAAGAAAACATGAAGTTATCAGTGGTGGGGGTGCGTTCTTCTCCTCCCCCCAAGGGTATTGACATAACAGATAGAGACAGTAGCAGCAGAGGAAAATACACGGTTACATACTGACAATGACAAGGTGGGGAAGGAACTAAAGGGATTCTGCAAAGGATCTCATTTCTTTGAAAACAAAACCAACACTGTAGTGTAACACCACATAAAATGACACTGAAGTACAACATTTCCTTCCTCTGTTAAGCTTCCTTTGTTTGTTACAGACATTTTTAAGTGCCTGCACGCTCCCCTAATTTGACCTCTCTACATGCCCTGCAGACCTCATCTTATCTCTCTGTCATCTACAGTACCAGCTTGTTTACACCCTCTGCCATGCTGAGGGGGAGGAGAGGGAAAGAAGTTTTTGCCAGTATTTGACTAACCAATCACCACCAATATTCTGCTCATCTCTCCCTCTCTTACTACCATCCGCAATTGTAGATGTAAGTACTTGACTTCAACTCTTATTTCTCTGCAGGCAACCTTATGACCTTTCATCTAAAAGCATCTGCCCCTCTCTTCAGCATCTGCTCACATGTAGCCAGCAAACAGATTATTCTTCAATCTATTTCTTGGTCAGTGAGGGCAATGCCAGCTTCCTGCTCTAACCTCTCCAAATTCCATACGTTCAGATTATGTTTAAATACGTCAGTCTTTCCATGTAACATTGCAACTGCGCGTGCAGACTGTAAACAATCTCGTCCAGGCTTTCCTCACTGCTGTATCCATCCGTTAGTCCTGACAAACATTGTCTAGCTCCACTCAAATCCAATCAGAATCTTCCTTTAAAGCTCCTTGCTGTTAATTCTCTCTGCCTTGCCAATCCTTCCACTGGTTCCCCCTTCTCTGCCAGAACAGAGGTTGCTCATCTTCATTTTCAGCACCCTTGACAAAGTACAACAGAAAAATCCACTTCCAACCCTGTTCAATGACAGCAAGATTCTACTTTTCAGACAAGTATTTCTGTGCATTTTCATGTTATTCTGCAAATTTCAGAGGTTTCTCAATAAACATTTATGAGAACGGTTACAGACTTTGTAATTCTGCCTTAAACGTCCCAAAAAGATAAAGTCAGGTCGTGAATACATGGAAACAGCTGCCAACCAGGCTGGCAAATTGTGTGTCTCGCTAAATACTGACAGTCAGAAGGGGCAGAAAGAAGTATTTCTTGTTTAGTACTTCAGAGCTCAGCCCGTTCTGCTACAGCATCCCACTTCCCTGACATTCCCAGATCCTGTTGTAAAACACAAGGGATGTGGAAACCACACAATGTCAAATGGATAATACTAAAGAAAAATAATAATTTACAGGAGAAATAGGAGCAGAGTCAAAACAGAAACTGTTAAGCCTGGAGACACCTAGTTGAGAAAAAGCAGTGACAAGAGTAACAGTTTCAGGAACTGTGAAGAGATACTTGGCCCTGTGTTAATTTGAGCTTCTCGGGCAAGGAAGTGATTTAACCATGTTTATTTCTAAAGTTATGACAATAATTTTCTCTTTGGCCAGCTCAAGCTACTGAGCCGATCTGATTCAGACTTCCCCTTAAAAGCCACAGTTTGCACTTAAATTTGTCATACGCAGAGAATTTTGAGTATGATACAAATCATTTAGAACTGGATATTATAATGGCAACAGTCATAGCAATATTTCAGATTTGGTTTCTATGAGGCAATACTAATTTGAACAAACGCTCTTGATCTCCAGATCTCAAAATGCTTCAGAAAGAAGCAGAAGTATATACTCTGTTCAGTATACACATGGGAAAGTGAGTCACAGAAAGGTTGAGAAATCTATCAAAGACTACCCAGGAAATAGTCAATGACTGAATCAGAAATAAGTTTTGAAGCACTTTCAGCAGGCAAAATCTAGCGCTG